TACACGGCATATACTAGAGACGAGAGAGGTAGGAGGCAGCGAGCCACGATATGCGTGTGAAATTTCTTGTTTCCTCGGTTGTTACGATCATGAGGGGGACTTGAGGTTGAGATTGGAATTATAGACTCACGGTGTGCGAACTATTTCTTATGACGTTACATTGCATGATCGGGTTCGATTCATCATAATGGAATCACTGGGGCATGGCTAGGACATGGCTCTATCAGTTTGTGGTCAGTTTGCCTTGTGCATGTAGCTTCAGCCCGAACTGTACTGTAGTCGGTGGCTCGGTGAAATGTTTCGGCTACTGGATAGCTACTCCAACTATTTTACTAATGCACAATTTCCAATCTATGGGATGCTTCACATGCTATGTAGCATAACAGTTAAAACAAGCCGAGCTACAATGAACAGGCCACCTCTTGATGCCGCACGCAGCCAATAATGTCCCTTGTGAACTAAAAGATGTCTCATTTTTGCGTCGGCTCCGGAAAATTTGACCACCCTTACTCGTCACGTTCCTTGTATATCTCGGGTATTTGCTGATGTACAACACTATGTAAGAAATCTATTGCGTGGAATCAAACACCACGGACTGAGATTCCGAGTTCGACTGTGATTGAGTGTCTGGATTTTGATGTTCTGGACTCGGAGTGGCTGCAGAGCGGCAGCCGTCACTGCTTCCGCGATCGGCGGCGGAACCAGAATGGGTCAGCACAATTCAATTTTCTGTTCTCGACGACAACCCAGAAAAGTAGGAGACCGTGCTGATTGACATCAGGTATATTTGCCAAGTTCTTAGTTGTCACGTAAATGTACATGTATGCCGAAGATGAATCAAATCACATCTAGGTAAACGAGTATATCCGTCGCAGATTCCTGCTTGTAGTTCTATATTTACACATGGCTGGACAGGGCCATGCATACAAGATATCAATGGCCTAGATTTCTCTATGCAAAGTACTTTACTACTAATGAGAAAACCGACCGTCTCATCTACAGTAAATCTCGGTGTAGCAGAACTATCAATTCATCACACGCGCTCTCCAGATCCATACTCGACGAGTCCTTGGCCCTATCCACTCTATACGCAGTACTCCGTAGTTCTGCACCGGTAAGATCCGTGACGCGCCCCACATCTTGGGCATCAGGGCATCGAACCATCGGTCTCGTGTGATTTTGCCTGGAATGGGGTGCCTTCGCGTGCCGTTCGCGCATTGCAGGCACAGCATTGAAGGGTGGCGCAAACCTGCAATTGTCAGCACTACTGTAGGCAGCGGGGGAAAAATTTGGAGGAATTATTTTCCAGCAAGTGGTTCAATTGTAAATTGACGAGGCGCTTTTCGCGCGATGAGACAAGCAAACGGAGTTTTGAGATGTCTTATTCGGAAATACTGGGACACTTCGAGTCCACGGGCTGGAGCCGTCTTTTCATGTGTGTATGGGTATACCGTCTTGAAGTGGGTATGGCAGTGTATCCATGAATGTTTCATTGACCACTGATTGCTATCGCTCTGTCCTCATCTTCGTGTTGTTTCTTATCTCTCTCTCAGAACTCCGATAAAGATCTAAAATTGAAAAGTTGAAAGAACTCCTCGGAGCTCATGATCGACACTAGCCACAATCTATCGGTATCAATTCCATCGAGGTTATCTGTGTTATCTCAAGATTCGTAAACTCGAGACTCTCCGCAAGTGGATTCCTAGAGTCCTAGCCTACCAACATTATCTGATTCTCCTCGGACCAGCTTCTCGATAAACCCTGGCCCGAGCTCCTAAGCCTAAACAATCGCAATGAGTTCCACGGTTCAATTGCGGCCGGCCCACGGAGATGCCTCCCAATTCAAGAGCGACCGCCGCAGATCACACTGCTTCGGAGATGTCGGAGGGGCAGAAGGATCGTCTCGCCCCCGCCTTTGGCAACGCAATACACCTGTGATCATACCAGCTGGTTCCTGAGGCGTCTAGCTCTGTGATAATGCGGAGAGGGCTTGCATTAATCTACTCGTAGGCATGCTGCGCTTATTGGGTCCCTTTCGTGATCGCGTCGGAGGATTTATTTTTCGTTCGCGCTGACAGGCGTCGGGGCCTTTGTGGACATGTGACTGGCGGGTCTATTGCTTTTATCGGAAAGAAGCGATTACGTGTGAAGATTCGGAATTGGACTGGCAACTGCAGTATCACCGAGTCTCCCGAGAATTGGGTGGTGGTTGGTTGGTTGGGGTGGTTGGTGATAGTGATGGTAGTTGATCAACTTTTGGTCCTTTGATTGTTTTATGTAAGGAGAGGAGGAAATAGTTCTGACCGTACGGGAATAACACTAATGAGGTTGGATGTTTTTGTATATAGATTTCGTAGTACCTTGAATGGCCGAATTAATTGAGCAGGGGAGCAAGCCGTATAGTACGTGACCCCCGAGGTCTTTCGTTGTTATTAGCCCGAAGCTCTGTATCGCGGAGCGTGCCCATCGAGTCTAGACCCACGACGGAACGAAGCGCTCTCCCCAGAATGGACGGGCCTTGTCGCAAATTTTAGACCTCGATCAAGTTCGGGAGTAGATGGAGCAATTGCACCAAAGATGGGCTAGAGGGAGCTTTATTTCCCAATCTGTCCACAATTCAAGCTCGTGGCCGGAGCTTGAGCTCTCTCCACGGTTACGCTCCGGTCGAATTGTGATCCAAGCATGGAGGCCCATCAAAATTTTCATCACCACGGAGAAATTGGCTACCCCATGCTACGCATTATATTTTGGGGCGACTTTAAGACACAAAAGTACCGCCCAAAGTCACTAATTAAGCCGAAGTTCCTATCAGGCACCCCCAAATTTTCACCGGAGAGACAAGGATCCGAAATAGAGAGATGCAACCCAGACCAGACCAGGCCAGACCCTAACAAATTCGTAGCTAGTAAATTGATCCCGTTCATCCGATATCCATAGTGCATCCATCGTTTCCCTCGGTACCGTCCTTCGTCTTTCGTCCATGAGGAGAACCGCCTCAGGTCTTAGACATGGGTCCACGTCAAAACAAAAAACAGGGACTACTGGACTACTGTAGAAGAGATTTTCCTGCGAATCCACCCACCGGCAGCAACGGCTGCACCGGCTACATTCACCATTGACGATGGGCCCATCATTGGGGACACCCGGACAGAGTACGGAGTACCGAGAAAGAAGTATGGACTGTACTGTATGACCCCCCCATGCACGGCGCGGGTGGCTCTACCATAACGGGGCCGCTGACCATGACGTTTGACCGTTTCCGATGAGCCTTGCGATAGCTCGAATTTCCCAGTCGACGCGTTTGTGGGTCCCGCGTCTGCCAACGCGAACTTGTGTTGGACCTTTTTTGGGCCCTATCGCAATCCCATCGACGATACTGGCCTAAAGTAGTGTATCACTGGATGCCACCGCCCCACGCGGGACGAAGACGGGAGGGGTAGCTTGGAGGGAAAACAAAGAAAATGGGTTCCCACGGGGCGGGCTAAACATGGGAGGCTACTCGATGCGCTTGTGGCGATGGGGGGGCGAACGGGACCTGGTTCTCTACGACGAACGGGCTCTGGAGAACGGAGGGGTGGAAATAATAACTAGCTAGGATGGAGTACTCCGTACTGTCGGTTGTATCGTGGGTGGTAGGAGTTTTGAGGCAACCGGACTACAGTATGTATTCGGGGCCCGAGGCTCGAGATCCTATGGTACCGAGTTGCTAGTTCGACATATCTGATATATTACATTTCGCACCTTCAGCGTGGACTAAACGGCTTGAGAGATAAATGAGACGGAGTGGCAAAAGCACTAAAAGAGACTTTCTTTGGCTGCTGTCACTTGGGGGACGGTCGCTGCGCTGTCGATCCCCGGAGGATAGTTGACAGGCAACGTGAGAAGAGCCAAGGCAAGACTAGCTTGGCCTCGTCCGGAGTCGCCACCATCCAAAGAAAAGGATACTTGGGTCCTGTCCGAGGTAGAAACTAGCAATCTAGAAATCTAGAAATAAGGAAAAAAAAAAAAAAAGAGGTGCAGTAGTACGTAGTGATAGTACATACGAAAAGTACCTTTGAAAAAGGTGACTGATCGAGTCCCGCCCGTATTTGGCCCTCGCTGCAGGCTCCAGCACACGGCCAATGCATTAAAGACAGGACCGGGTTTCCCCCCCCACAGAATTGATTTTGGAGGGGAATTGTGATTCGTGCGGTATCGCGGGTGGCTCTCTGGTTTTTCGGGGCGGACCAATGAGGAGGGGGGTTTAATATGGATTTTTGGGTTAGTGAGGTCTGGACCGGGAAACGTTCGGCATATACAAGGTGGATTTGGGGGGAGCGAAAGGAGAAGAATTTATTCAGTAGTCATGTACTGTTTATGAAGGGCACGGTATAGGTCTGTATTGAGTGTTTGTATGCCGTATCATAGGTAATATAGTACGTCCATTGACTGTTGGAAGAAGGTCCTTTGAAATTAATTATGTAGTATCTCAAGGAGTCAACATAGAAGAAAGGAAGGAGTACGATAGCCATCCATGTCTACTCCATGGCACTCCGTAGTTCGCACACGGTAGATAGATAGGTAGCACCCACGGGGCCAGCGTAAAATTCTTTTTTGCTCCCTGCAAGAGGCGGGTTGCTTTTTCGTTTCTTGGTTTCCAGAAGCAATATGTCATTTCGAACCTTCCAGCAGGATGGGTCATTATGCGATCGGGGTATACCAAGTCGACAAGATTGACGACGATGAGACTGCTGCCCTGAGGGTAGGATAGGATAGGATACGGAGTACTCGGTATGGATGAACCCAAGCATCATGGGCCCCGACCGGACGGGGGAAAGTCTTCTGCTCTGTATTCGTACTTTTGAATTGAAACGGGCACTACTATACACTAGCGTCATGTATTGCGTTCCCTCCATGTTTACAGTAGTGGGATCAATTTACGTCAATTACGGGGCCAATACTGGCCGGTGGAGCTTGCATGGATCGTCCCGATCGAGTCCCAGAAGAATCAACTGGATCAACTGGGTCCTCAACTCCAGAGAAGCTCTTTCTTATTATTTCACCCTCCGCCCTTTCTCCTTTTCGCTTCAGTCCTTCTTTTTGACCCTTTGGCATCTTCGTCCTTGGGAAAAAGATTCAGACCTCTTAATTGATTTCTGATTCCATTGCGCCTCCCCGGTGGCAATATCACGTTCTCTCGGACTGTGCTGTATTTTCATCCCTTTTTTACACCCCTCGCCGCCCTTGCGTACGAGGGTCCAAGACAATAGAGAGATTCCCAGCTTCGTCATCGAGTCTACTGCAAGTCAGTTGGCATTCGTCCTTTCTACGATCTTCGTCATTAGGGGTCGACCACTATTGCAGCTCCCTTGGCAATCGTGCTGTGTATTACTCCCAACCTCGCGCGGCCACTTGAACTAAGTGGGTTATCCTGCGTTTTCTATCGATTTGCGCCGCGACTGTGACTTGTCAATCAACCGCCCCTTTCGGTTGGGGTCTTCCAATGTTCCGGACTCCTGTTTGTTACTGTTTATAGTTTGAGAGATTACTCGTTGTAATTCTTGGCTTTCAAAGGGTGCGTTTGTCAAATCCGATTCCTTGGGACGTTTCTACTCCTTCCCCCCCTCCCCCCCCAGCATTCCTTGCCCTACTGGACTCCCTGGACTCGCACGCATTCCAACACAGGTTCCCAATTCTGGGAACAAAAACACTTGCGACCCGAGTCATTCGTTCTATTCGTTCATTTTGCCCGCCCTTGTCCAGCGCCCCTCCAATTGACCTTGATGTGTAGGGTTATCCCCAGCCATCTGGCGATCCGAAGCCCCCGCGGTCAACCCTGAATTTTCCACGACTTGCCACTTGTCTTTTGGTGCATTTGCCCTTTTTGTTCATCTGTTAGGTACGGAGGTCCTCGAAGGATGTCAATTGCGCCTATTATCGTATAAACGCCCCGGTCAGTGACCATCACGGCTTTTCCGCTACTACCAATTCGATATCTATCCCGAGAGCGGGCAAGAGATGGAATCAATGAAGCCAAACATCCCACCATTAAAGATCGCAAAGTCGAATCCGGATATTCATGTGTCGACCACATTGTCGGACCAAGACGACACAAATCAGACGCGACCTCGTTTCTATTCGAATAACCTCGGCCAGTCCGAGATGACGCCGCCATTAACACCGCAAGGCATCACTCAACCCGAACACAATATGGAACAACCCGAGGCTCCGAGAGCCGTCTTTCACAACTACCTGCGTGCATTTTATCCTTTTCATCCGGCAGGAGATGTCTCTCCATCGACGGTGACTCTTCCGCTCGACCAGGGCGACATTATCCTGGTCCACTCCGTTCACACCAATGGCTGGGCCGACGGTACCTTGTTAGATTCTGGGAATCGAGGCTGGCTGCCTACCAATTACTGCGAAGCATATGACCAACTACCCATGCGTCCCTTGTTGAAAGCACTGACGGACTTTTGGGATATCATTCGAGGAGGATGCGGTTCATCACTAAAGGACTTTGGTAATCAAGACCTGATGCGAGGTCCCATTGCTGGCGTTCGGTTCCTCCTGGAGAAATCCGAGTGCCTCACTCGGGAAGCACCGCTTGTTAGGAAATATGATGGACTTCGCCGTATCCGCAAGGCTCTGCTGTCTGATCTTTCCTCGCTTGTCAAGACTGCCAAGCAGTTCCAGGACGTCGCCAATGGGGTTCCAGCGGAGGATGAGGTCGAGGCTATTCTGGATGAGATGCTTCTCAAGGCATTCAAGATTGTCACCCGTGGTGTTCGCTTCTTGGATGTCTGGAACGAGGAAGTTGGCTTGACCAGAACAATTGCTGAGATGGAGACTGTCGGTACTCAATACGATATGCCCCCGACTCCAGCTTCCGCGACATTCTCCTTGGCCGATACGGCGCCGACTTCCGATACTTGCACCGAACGAAATGAGTCTCGACAGATGAGCCACAGCCGTATGGACTTCAGCCGAGCCTCGATGCGGACTGAGATGCTGGATCAACAGTCCAGACCCATGTCCGTATCAACAAAACGTATCTCAGTGTCCCACCGGATCTCATACTCTGGTCCCTCGTCGGCCATTCGTGCGCAGAACCTGGCCTCGGAGCGACTGGGCATCTCGTACGATGCTTTCCTGGGTGTGCTGGGATCATTCATCGGCCTTCATATGCAGTCGCGTTCATCAACCGAGCTGGTCACTACTACCCAGCAGGCCGTGCAGTCTTGCCGGGCTTTGCTCAACGTAGTTGAGGCTGTATGCGAGCATGATGCCCAGCAAAGTGTCCTCCTCGACGAGGCACGCGAGTCTATGTGCGAGAAGTTAGCCGAACTAGTTCAAGCTGCCCGCGACGTGTTTCGTCCTGCAAACTCCCAGGACGACGACCTGATCTTCATGCCGGACGAGGGTAAGCGACTGGTCGATGCTGCAACGGATTGCGTCCGTGCTGCTGGCAACTGCCTGGCAAAGGTTCGCCTGGTGCTGGAGCAAATCGGTGACATCGAGCTGGACCCTGTCCAGGAAAAGGCCAGCACCGACCAGCAAGTGTCAGGCATTGTCACTTCACAAGTGTCCCCCAACATGCCGACCGACCAGCAAAAATCCAAAGAGCTCTCACTTCAGCTTCCTCCACCTCCTCTCACGATTCCAAACTCGACCTACTCCCCTTCGACCCCTGGCCTCACCGACTCGACCACACCTTCTTCTTTCCAATCGCACCTCGCTTCCAGCAGTCCCGTCCATCCTTCTGCTCCATCCTCTTTCTCTAACACTGCCACTATTTCCACCCAGCTTGACCAAGCTTCCTCCTTCTCTTCATACGACAGCGGCTTCCGCGAGAGTCATCCCAAGTCCGACGTGAGCGAGTCCTTTGGCCGCGGTGTCACAAGCACGGGTAGCAGCTTCACGTACCACAGTCACACGCGCGACTCCGAGATGAGTGGCCTTTCTCGGACCTCCACCCGGGCCACCTCCCCTGACATTGGGGGTAGCTTCCATGACAGCTTCAAGGTGCCTTCCTTGAAGGAGAGTGTCAGCCACTCTACCTTGGCCGAGGAGAACGAAGAGACGGAAGCTCATCTTCTTGAGAAGACTTTCGCTCATGAGCTCGTCTACAAAGATGGCCAAGTCATGGGTGGCAGTCTGCGTGCTCTCATTGAGAAGCTCACTGCCCACCAATCTACCCCGGACGCCCTGTTCGTCTCTACCTTCTACCTCACCTTCCGTCTCTTTGCTACTCCTCTGGGGTTTGCCGAGGCTCTCGCCGAGCGGTTCGAGTACATCGGCGACACCCCCCATGCCGCGGGACCCGTTCGCCTGCGCGTTTACAACGTGTTCAAGGGCTGGCTCGAGTCGCACTGGCGCCATGATCGCGACAACTCGGCGCTCGAGTTTATTGTGAACTTTGCAAAGACTCGCTTGACTGCCGACCTCCCTACTGCTGGCAAACGTCTACTAGACCTGGCTGACAAGGTCTCTGCTGTTCACGGTCCCGTCGTTCCCCGTCTGGTCTCGTCTATGGGCAAGACCAACACCGCCATTGCTCAATACGTTCACCCCGATACCCCTCTTCCTCCTCCCGTCCTGGGCAAGAAGGAGGCCAACCTGCTCAAGCAGTGGAAGACTGGCGAGACCTCGATCTCCATCTTGGACTTTGACCCCTTGGAGTTGGCTCGTCAGCTGACCATTAAGGAGTCTCGCATATTCTGCTCGATCCTTCCCGAGGAACTTCTCGACACCGAATGGACTCGGAAGTCTGGCTCGCTTGCGGTCAACGTTCGTGCCATGTCGACCCTTTCCACGGATCTGGCTCACTTGGTTGCCGACTCCATCCTCTGCCTGGAGGAGCCCAAGAAGCGCGCCGCGACCATCAAGCACTGGGTCAAGATTGCCAACAAGTGTCTGGAGCTGAACAACTACGACTCCCTCATGGCCATTATCTGCTCCTTGAACTCGTCCATGATCTCTCGTCTGAGACGGACATGGGACGTTGTGTCGCAGAAGACCAAGACTACCTTGGAACAACTCCGCACTATTGTCGACGTTTCTCGCAACTACTCAGTCTTGCGCCAGCGTCTGCAAGGCCATGTACCTCCTTGCTTGCCTTTTGTCGGCACCTACCTGACCGATCTTACCTTCGTTGATCATGGCAACCAGTCTCTCCGTTCCCTGCCGACGGATGAGGGTGAGATGGCTGTGATTAACTTTGACAAGCACATGAAAACGGCCAAGATTATCAGCGAGCTCCAACGGTTCCAGATTCCTTACCGTCTCACCGAGGTTCCGGAGCTACAGACCTGGATGCAGAACGAACTGGTACGTGTGCGCTCCAACGGCGAGACCACTCTTCAGACCTTTTACCGCCGGTCGCTGGTCCTTGAACCGCGTGAACCCTCACGCAGCAATGTCAATCTTCCAGCTCTGGCTCAAGCTCAGGCTCAGGGCCAGGCCCAATCTCAAGCCTCCGAGTCATCACCTCCCAACCAGTCCATTCTTGAAAATGCCAAGGACAAATTCGACTTCTTATCGTGGACAAACCCTTCTAAGCCCAAGTCCGTCGCGACTCACGGCTAATCATCTTCTTATCATACCCAAATACCCATTCTTACTTTTTAACATTGACGACTGATGACCACCATTTTTCTTGATTCTCCGGTTCTATGCTGTTTTATTCCATCTTTCCGACCTTTTATCTGCTATGCTGGCTGCATAATGTTTCATTTACTCCGTTCTTGTCTCCCAAAGTTCTGTGAATATCCCCATTTTGCTTGTTATTTTTATTCTCTTTTATTATCTTCCGGCGGCGCTCGTGTCTTTTGTTTCATTGGTTCCTGCGGGGATAGCTGGCATCAGAAAAGCGACAGGAATTGGGTCCGAGTTGGAAAAAACGGAGTCACCAAGGGGCTTTTCTCGATTTCTTTTCTTCTTCTTTTTGTCTATCAAAGGTCATGTCTTTGGGGGAATATGGGGCTTCTTGTCTGTTATTTGTGTTGGGACGGTCATTCTTGAGCTCTTTTTTTTTCAGGCAAGGATGTAAGCCTCCCGGCTTCTGTACAAGGGCTATGCCAAATGCTACTGCAATGCAAAAATGCTTTTGCTAAATATTTGATTTCGTGACATTGTAGATTGTAAATCATTATGTAGAGTAGAGCCTAGTAAATCCTCGCAGTCGTTCATTTGGTTTGTACCTTGCATGACCTTGCATCTTCTGATCTGGGAATTGAACTGCCCACCAATCCAGACCCGTCGGTCGCCCAAGACACTCAAGTTGCCCAAGCTTGTCTTGATAGCCTGCTGAAGTTCACTCTCCTGTCTTTCACTCTCCTGTCTGATGAAATTAGTACCGGATGTCGGACGTCATGATTACCACAAAGCGCCTAGTTTTGTCGAATTCCCTCTTTAATGTCGGACGCCTCATTAGGGAGTCTACAATCTAGATCAGGCTTAGTATTCTCCTGAAACGGTATAGATATTATCCTATACCACAACCTGCTACTACTTGCGCTACTCTGCTGTAGCTACTCGCCGTTGCGGTTGTTCAGATATCGTTCTAGCTTCTGCTTCCCTCCTCACTCTTGCCATTTCTCTCGTTTCATATCATTTCTCTTTCCCCTGCTTCTCTTCTCTCTCGCTTCCTGATTACTTACCTCTCGCATCTCTCTCTCTCTTTCCTCTCCTTTCCTCTCCTTTCCTCTCCTTTCCTCTCCTTTCCTCTCCTTTCCTCTCCTTTCCTTCTCACCTCTTCTCCAGCGAGAGTAGCCTTATACCAGCTAGGGCCCCTTTATAGCGCTATCCCTTAAAAAGTAACTCCTCGTCTCCTCTCCGTCACAAACATTCATTCAATAACGGGGATCAACCACCGCCATGCGCCTCAAAAGACAACAAGCGCCCACCTGGATATGACGCTATAAGCACCATATCGAGATGCTCATAGATATCTGGACTTACCTTACTTTCTTGTTAACGGAGTCCATTACCGACGGCCTTATGCGCATGCTCAACATCAACCTTCAACCTCTCGACTTCTTCTCCGGAAAGACTGTGACAGACCCCGCAGCTTCTTTTGACCCTTTCTTTATGCCGACAGACAAAGTGGTCTCCCGGAAACGGACGAACAAGTCTATCGAACGCACGGCCAAGTTCCCCCAATATCCCAGGAAGCCTCATAAGGCCACCACAAAGCCAAACCCCCAAGACCTGGCTCTTCAGAAGGACCTTGTGGCGGAGCTTCAGAAATATTGTCTCCTGGCCGAGTCATATCCAGTAGCAAAGGGAATGACTAATTTCGAGTAAGTCTCACAGACTCAACCTGAATTCTGCGTCGTTGACGTGATCTAACCATTGTATCAGCCCTCCCTCAAATGCCAACGCGGAGAAGAACCGGACTTTGGCCAGCCCTCAGCGACTGAAGTCGAAGTCCTGATCGCCGTCATCCTTCAGGGTCTGCGCCAGCAGAGCCATGATCTTGGTTTATCTAATGTCAGGATCAGAAATATCCTGCATTTGGGCTCCGTCAACTTTGTCATCCCGGTAAGTAACAGTCTAACATTTCACACCCATTTTGGAAGGATTGCTGCGCAGTATTCTTGATACGTGTTCCAGGCTCTTGTCATTTCCGTCTACCCCGGTGCCCAAGTCCGGGTTTTGTACGGCTATGCGGTCAACAACCAGTTGCGCCTGCATTTCACCCAACTCCAGCAGTTCACCGAGGACAACTTCCAAATATTGATGGAAGCGACCCTCAGCTGGGCCTTTCCTATTGCTCGTGGTCAAGCTGCCAAGCTTGTCACTCTCCCTGACATCAAAGAAGAAGCCGAGGATGCGGGAGAAGAAGAAGACTGGGAGGACCTTGAAGAAGTAAAGTCGGAAGATGACGTTGAAAGTTGTACCCTGAACATCTATACCAAGAAAGAAGTCGAGGTTGGTCATGTAAAGGGGATGATAAAAGATCGTATGTTGAATGTTTCGAATACCTCTACCGTCACTGCTACATCCACCGCCGCGAGGAAGAGTAAGACTAAGAGGAACAATAAGAAGGCGATGAAACGGGGCCATTGAGGATTTAGGCAGAAATTCGGTAATACCAGATTGGAAAATCCATGGACTCGGGACATCACGGAAAGAATAATTTGTTGCAGACTGCATTTTGAAAGGTGTATACACTGTCTAACCAACTATACGGCCGTTGGAGAATCGGGGGGTCCGTGGACACTCCGGAGCTCAAGGATGAGACTCCACTCACTCTGCAGCCTTTGGAAAGGCATATAAAACACCCAAGAGAATGGCCATCATCCCCAGGTCTATAATCCCTAGATTTCAAAATTCAATCATTACAATTCTAAAGACATTGTCAAGTCTCATCCACCACCCACGTACAACGTTATAATTCATCACATCATGTCAAACGAATCCCTCCAAGAAGCCAATAACAAAACCCTCGGCACAAACGCCGGAACATTTCCCATAGTAACACTACCAGATGGACGCAAAGTACCCACAGGCACTGTCGGGGCATTGCTAGTCAATATTAAAGCGTATGATGAGGGGAATGAAGAACGACGTGCTGAGTTGGAACCTGCGATTAAATGGGCCATCCCAACGCTGGTGAACGTGGGCATGTTTGATCTATTTACTCCACAGGAGTGGAAGTCGGAGTCTAGTCCGGGTCGGACTTTGGTTGGGGAATTGGCGAGAGATTATCTTGAGTAAGTCTTTTGGGTACGATGATGGGGAGAAGGGAACTGATTAGGCTGTCTGTAGCGTCAGTCGATGAGTTAAGGGAGCTCAAGTATGTAAGGCTCGGATGGATATTCTCCAGGAAGAAGGCAACTGTAATTCACTTGATATCGCACTGGTTGTTGTTCATCAGTCAACAATGTCGAATAAGAGTCTGGTCTTGATGGGTTGCTAAGTTAGTTGATCCTCCATATCAGTTAGGCGCGCATCGTATTTAGCATGAAATTCGTGCAGATTGATATTGAACGTTTCAATAGTGATTTAGCTTAGAAATAGGTACTGCAATACCTGGCAAAGTTTCATGTCCTGATTATTGAACCCCCACCCCACAGTTCACATCATATCCAGAGAGTTCTATTTTATGCGGAGTATCAAAACCCTGGGAATAATCGTATTGTATCTTACATTAAGTTTCAGTCCTGTTGACAGCGTATTACAACGTCAGTTTCGAGATGAGCGATCAAATGATGTATCTCAATATCCGAGCCCAAAAACCATCGTCCTTGCATGAGGCTTCCTCGAATGCCCTCGAACATCTCCCCAGAGAGCTTGGAACTTTCCTAAACGGTACCGTTGCATGTATAGAGTATGGTGATTGCCAATGCAAGGGATACGTCAAAAAACCGAGAGTTTGGGCGTAGGGTCAGAGTGGAGTTGGTGGGCGCCCGGATCCGTAGTCCGACGAACAATACGGGTGCCTTGATCTGCGAGGTGCGTCCGTAATACTGCAGATTGGTATTTGAAATGCGGGTGGGAATTGTTCGAAACAACTAGCTGCATGTTGAGTATGATCTATGCTAGTTCATGCAGCATGAGGGCTGAAGAGCCGCTGACGAGGCGGCTGTTCGCTCGCGGACCGCGCTTCCAACGAAGATCGTCTTGCGGTGTACACCGAAATACACAGTACATTTGGATTTCTTACCAGAAGTACAGTGGCGAACTGAGTTTTGTCATTATCCGATCTGGAGATATGGCGTTGGAAGTGTTTATGTCTTGGTGGGTGTTTCGCGAAGGTAAATGTGACATATCATGAAGCCTCGTTCTTGGACGAGGTTAAGTAGTGCGCGGGGCAACATCAAAAGTACTCCGTACGACGGGAGAGTTGCAATAGCAAGAACGTCTGGATGGCCATAAAGTACCCTCGTAATATTGTAGGAATTGCCAAGAACAAATTGAGGGTGACCATGTTGATTGTCTAATTTACATACTGTGCCCGAAACGCGTCTAAGAAATCTACCCCATTCTCATCGTATTCATCATAATCCGAGCCCGTGATGCCAGCATCAGAGGGCAGATTCCCGATTACAGGCTGTGAGCGCAGGTCAAGAATCGGGATCATCGACGGTCGGCCATGAGCACATTGAAATGGAAACGCGCATCTCGATAGCCGTATGACCAGTGCCTCGCACTCCTGTAGACTTAACGGATCATTGAACATGATAGCCCCCCGACATGCCCGAGAATTGAGTAGGTCCAGAATACTCTGCGGACAGCCGCTCATTTTTTGTACCCACGGATGCGCGGCGATCGCCCCCGTTCTGTCAGCGGAGAACTCATCATCATCGCCACCGCAGCCTATTGAGAATTTCCTTGTGGACTTTTTCGAGCCTGACGGTTTTCCATTCCCCTCTTCGAAGTTCCAAATTTCACGGCGGAGAAGATCCACGATCAGGTTTGGCTCAAGTCGACAACGTTCAGCGATGAGAGTTGGGAGCGCTTGGACCTGGACGGTTACCTCAGATGAAGCTTGCGTAGTTATGCCATAGTCAATACCCCAGTTCCCAAAGAAATCCAAGTATTTGCGGAAAAGTGTAGCTTTCGTGGCAGATATGCTGAAAGAAATTGGTTCAATATCCACAGTCTGAACCTGATCATGTTGATCCAAAGAGCCAGGCGAGATGAACATGTCTTTGAACAATTGTTCGATGCGGCATCGTTCGTCGGCGGCATGTTGATCGATCAAGACAAGAACACCATCGGAGTCACGATCAACCGTAGCACTAGGGTGTATAGGGTCGAATTTGGCGAGAATGAATTTTTGATCCACCTGTGCGATGATGGTGGCCGTTGTCAGGCTTTGACGTTGTAATTTGCCTCTGAACTTGGCAACTTGCGTTCCGTACAAAGATTCAATATCCCCGTGACAGTGATGCGAACCCGCCAGATTGGCAAGTTGATCCTCCTCGACGTCAAAGTATGGCACTGGTACCTCTGTTCTGGCAAATGTAGGGTTGTCCCAAGCATCAAGCAGATTATCCACCCAGACGCTGGATGACGACGCCGATCTCGGCCTATGTGATCTGCCCTGACTTTGTAAAGTACCAAGGAAGCTGTTGGATCTGGGTCCAGCACTGATTGCTTTGAGGTTGACGGTCTGTCCCGTTCGTGAGTTAATCTGGTGCGTGTTCCCAGTATGCGGGTCAACCCAAGGGATCAACTCGTCAGCAGTAGTCTCGGATGAAAGGTGACCCGACTTGCTCTGCTTTGCATCATCGACACTACGGAGGGGTGGAATTTTGTCATCCTGTCGTATTTCGCGCCGACGAGAGCAAAGAGGGAAATGTCGACTGCGGTTCAATTGACTTCGTCGACACTCCGGTGATTGAGGCAGCTGCCTGTCTGAGGAAAGGTTGTCGTGTTGAGATACAGGATCCGCACCAATGAGGCCAATACCTGGATCTTCGGGGTCCTTGGCAGCTTTGACACGGGACCAATTGCTGAAGTGCGGTCCTATGTTGACAGAGTGTGATCTCCGCAACGAGGGAAGTTTCAACTGACTGTTGAAACCCTCCCTCATGCTCAAGGTCCGACTGCTTTTGGCGACACTGTCAGATAGCGCAGAGCTGGTGCGTGTAGCACTGATGGTTCTCTGGGGCCGGTCGTGGAATCTCCCTTGTCGTCTACTCGCCCTAGGTCGCAAATTCTGTTGTTTCAGGAACTCCAAGATCATCGCCTCTAAAACTTCCATGATTTCTTGAAGTGACTTCTCAGTGGCGGAAGAGGGTTCATCGCTATCTTCCAAATGTTGAAGACCCTCAGTTTCAATGCGTATGTAGAACATTGGCCATTTCTTGACTGACTTTGCCCAGGTTCTGTTCGTTAAATCGTTCAATGATTCCGATCTGCCAGCCACAGGAGCTGAATGTTTTGAAAATGCAGTTTCAGACGCAGTCCTACTGTTCCCAAAGTCAGACATAGACATTAGTCGATTGACCTCGTCGAATAGAACATTGGTAGAGTTTCGTGACAGCATTGGATCCTTGCCCAAAGAGATAAATTGTATCTTCTTTGAAGGGCTTGGCACGGTTGAGATTGCTGCATGTATCGTGAGGCTTTGAACGGAGGCAGATATAACACGCCATGAATCCATATTCCGCGAATCTAGTATGCCGGATTGTGAGAGAATGGATCCTATGCGTTCGAGATTCATTTCAAGTGCAGCATGGGGTAAAGAGGCATTCTGTGTAGGATTATTGGGACGAATAGTGACTCGCTTCCCCCTTGTCACATCAGAAATCACAAGCTTCAAGAGCTGGCGATTTGATAGCGTGAGAGAGACCAGCAGATGTCGGAGATGGTCCCATTCTCTCTCCAGTTCTTCCGGATTTTCGAAAGCCATGGCTCGACTCTTGACGCGCACTGGCATATTTCCGAAAAGATCATTTACTGCGACACAAGTCCCATGTTCACCAAGCCGGTGAGCTTGAGGTGCCGGCGCAGGGATTAGCCTTGCAACGGGTCTGGCGTGATGAAATATGACGCAGTTTGTGCTCGCATGTTGGATATGACGAGACGTTACAGTGAGCAGCGATAAAGAGGCCAAAGAAGCTAGAAATAGACCACGACGTCCATAGGCAGCTGCAAGCCGATACTTGGATGTATCTGACATATACGTTTAGCAAGACACGACAGCCAAAGACAGGACTCGGTGACGTACGGTGCGCTTTTCCAAGCCCGCCGGTGGGTTCAAACTCCGCTGGACGTATTCCCTCCCCATCGTCCTCCACTATGCAGCTTCCGCGTTTGAAGTCCACAGAGACGAGGACTGTCTGTGCGCCCGCATCTAGCGAGTTCTTGACCAAATCTACAACGACTCCATGTAGGTGAGTGATTGAGGTTGAAGATTTTATTTTAGCCGCAACGTCCAGAGGAAGTGCCTGAATGACTGGCCCGTGCGAAGACATGACAAAGTGGCTCCGATATAGAAGAGTTGTCGCGGATGTTTCGTTTCAGTCAAGGTATGCTTCCATTGTATCACCAACGGGGCTCCAAGGACGGCAGGAACGTTGCCACTTTTTCATAACTGTCACATCTGAAAAGACTTCGATATGTAAATGAGCACGCAAATCCCAGCATAAAATAAAACGGTCAAATCAAGTTGACTGAAAGGGCAAATCGATTATACGAAGGCGAATGATCGACATCAAGGGCTGGCACATGACCAGCCCGGATAAACCGTCGTCCCGTAGTCCCCCAATAGCCTCGGTGCTGCTCCATCAGTGTGAGGCTTTATCCTGCTCCTCCTCCCGAGCAAGTGAACTGTGTCGGGAGGTATTTGAGCTTCTGATACCCTTATCCACCATGGCTACAACTGAGGGGCCTGCGAGGGTGCATGGTAAGCCGTTCTAATGGACATTCTGTCCTGTGTGAAACAACGGGGTCACTAACGGGGAACATCCAAATAGATCGCAACGGTCGGCGCCGCCCTTTTTCGAGCTGGATGAAGCGCCTCGCAAGTCTTAAGAGCTCCTCCGAATCTGGCTCTCATCGCTGGTCCAACAAGCGACACACAAACTCCAAGGGCAAGAAGAATGGCGGCCAAGGGAACAACCCGTACCCATTATCGGGCACACTTAACCGCCCAAACCACGGCGACTCGTACTCCGAAGTCGACGAGCATGATAGACACGGATCTGGATCACGCAGTGACCCCTCCCTGGTCTATTCAGGCTACGAAAACCAGGTCCCCGCGACGAGCACCAAGTCCACGGCCCCTACCGTATCGACCAACGGCGACACTGCGATCTCGGATGCAGGATACTCCAAGGCAGGGACAATGGCGACAGGGGGTGGGGGATTAAGCTCACATGGTGGAGGCGAAGGGAGCACCTTCTCGTCACCTGCGCCTTCGGTTCGCTCGTTGACCACCACCTTGACAACTGTGCAGTCGGCGGCCCCATCTACCCAATTGTACCCCGCGGCCAATACACAACCTGGCCATGCACACGGCAGCTCCACGCAGAGTTCTGGAAATCAGCAAGTCCAGTTCTCGCATCAATTTCCTACGTCCTCCTCGCCTGCTACAGCCGTGCCCCCGCACCTTATACCCCATAGCCAGTCGATGACCTACAGCAGCGCGACGGCAAACAACGCCTTGAACGACAACGCCTCTATCCTGACGCTCGCAAGCTCGTCCAAGCGCCGACGACGGAATTCCCTTGACACCAATGCCTCCGTTCGTGCATTGGCACCCTCATCGGTCTTTGGCGGGAGCCGAGAGAGCTTGCCACTGAGCCTGCTTAGTGGTAGTGTGGTTGAGCCGTCGAGCACTTCAGCCTTCAACGCCCAGGGGGTGCTGGCCCGACCGAGCATTGTTGGACTCGCAAGCGCTGAACGCATCAGTGTCTATTCCTCATCTGGTCCAGCACCTTTGGCCAATGGCGGCGACCGCGGCAGTTTCCACACCCCAAAGCAAAGCCTGGCTGGAGGTGACGGAGCAAGCATTCGTAGCGGTGCACCATCTCATACTCGAAATGATAGTACAGCTGCTAGCGTCACTGGAGGTGTGGTCAGCCCTCTTGTCATGGCCTCTGGCAGAGTCAGTCGCAGGAGCTCCGGATGGGGTGAGATCACTGACGAAGGCAATGAGGGGAAGCCTAGTGAAGGGACTGACGAGCGCTGCGCATCGAAACCAGAGGTTTCTTTCAATGAAGAGCCACACGAAACTTGATACTTGGTGGCAAAGGTTCTGTTTGTAGGTCTTTTCCAAAACGAACGATGACAAAGGATTCGAATGACTTGACGCAAGTACCCTGCAAGGGTAAACATACTGCGGACGCATATGCTTTTTTTTTCTCTAATGATTGACGCATGGAATTGGGGGAAGGGGTGGATTGGAATGGCTTGTGGTGTTCAAAGTTAGGGCGTTACTTTTCTCTTTCTCTCTTTTTTTCAGGACAGGAACTTTGATACCCTCTGCGGTATGCTTCTCTTTCTACTTCAGCTGCATACATTCTTCTGCAAATTGGTCGTGTGTATTCATAGGTGTCAAAAATAATTATTACCCCTCTTCGATGTCTTCCTCCTCGTGATTAACTACGCGTAGAATAGTCATGTCTACACACGACGCTTGATGATCATCGGCATATCGTACTGGTAGACGAACCAAGCATCGCGATACTTCCACTCGTGCTTGGGATCAACCAGTTGAATCTACATTGAATAGTCAGTATCGAAGATTGATGTTCCGGGCCTGTGGAATACTCACATCGAACATATTGTAAAGCGTCGCAATCAACTTCTTGATCTCCAGCATCGCCAGGTACCGACCCAAACAGATACGACCACCACCACCGAAGACAAAGTCAACGGTATCCTTCATGCGCCGAGAACGAGCCTCAAATTGCTCATCACTTTCGTTCTCACCCTGCAGCCAGCGGTCCGGATTGAAATCATCGGCATCATCCCCAAAGACACCAGAGTCCCGGTTGGTCACGAAGGGGTTGCATCCAATTTTAGTGCCGGCAGGGATATAGCGTCCGTCTGGCAAGGTGAATCCACCCTCGGGAACTACACGCTCAAAGACCATTGCGATGCCGGGGTTGACGCGCAAAGATTCGCGGATAACTGCATCCAGATATGGCAGGTCTCGGATGGATTTCCAAGGGGCAGGCGTGGGGAGAGAGGCAGCTTGCAGCTCCGCGGCGAGCTTGGCTGATGCCGAGGGGGACTTGGCCAGGTAGTAGAGAACAGCACGCATTGTTGCGGAGCTGGTATCGCCACCGGCAAGGATGCTCAACATCAGCCAGTTCACGATTTGCGGGTCGTTGACCATGTCCGGGTACGTCTCCTTGAGTTGCACGTATTTGTCCAACGTGTGATCAACTGATCCGGCAGTGACCTTTTTGTCAGCGAGCTGAGCTTGATACTCTGCAACAACCTTGAAGGCATAGAGAACGCCAGTGAGGGTGGGCTTGGGTCCAATTCGCTTGATGGGGTTCTTATCAAGCAAGTTGTCAATCCAAGGGATTTGGGAGACCTAAGTTAATTTGGATTAGCATGAACATGTTCACGCTGGGTAACAAGTAGACTAGGTCTCCTTACCGGAGCAAAGTAGATCAAACCATCAGTGGAGTCGGTGATCAAATTGTCCACATCCTTTTCTTGGTCAATGAAGCCATAGTGGCGGCCGAAACTAAAGTTCGCCGTGACATCCCAGGCAACTAATTTGTTAGAAAAGACCTCACGGTCTCAAGGAGAGAACAAGACGTCGATGCTTACAGTATCCGATCCATTCATCAGCCGGGCAAACAGTACCGGCATTCTTGCCATCCACAAACTTCTGAGCAAGCTTATCAACAAACTTGTTGATGGTCTCATCAATCAGAGGTTCGTACTCAAGAACCTTGGTCATACTCCACAGACCGCGAATTGGTCGAATGTTCTGATTATGCCACTCCTCATCTTGGGAGTTAAACAGGTTATTGAGACGATGACCTTCAATGAGTACATCATTAGGTCGGTACATGTCACTCTACTCATATCTGCTGTCAGCAATGATAATCTGGGGGAGTGGGCCAGAACCCTACCTTCTTCCATGGGTTACGTGTGGAGTAGATCGTCCGAATGAGGCTCGGATCAGAAATGCTCACGCAGTTAGGACCAATTGCCACTGCTGTTCCATATTTGCGGTGGAGTTCGAGATGTTTCAAGTCGGCACGGCCGCGATGCGTGTGAATAGCTCGCCAGGCATCGGTGATCTTGGCCAAAATTGGGCCCGGAATGGCCCTCAATGGCGAGAAGAAAACATCCCAGACAAGCTTTGTCAAAAGCAGGAGGCCAAGCGTGGCAAGAGCTTGGGCCCATAGGGTGGACGCGAGAGAAGACATTACCGCCATTGTTTCGAGCTGCACGAAGCTGGCCCTCAGAAAAGCAAGCACCTGGATAGATCAAATTCACTGCTGAGAAATTGCAAGACTGCGGTAGGTGTAATGGTGGCGAGAACACATGGTCGCTTGCAGCTGATTTTGAATATGCCGTACCTTCTAGTCCCCCTTGGACCTTAGCGCACAAGGAACCGAAGACGACATCCGATCTACCCAATAATGGCACTCCGCCGGGGTTCAAAACAGGAAGTCTTTACTGTACGAAACACCACCTAGTCCCGGCATTGTGGTCATTGTGTATACCGGTGTATGGGATACGCCACTAGTCGTACATGACTAGAGCGGAGGGCGGCTTGTGGAGCCCGGGGGTGTTTACGGTCGCATTGACTGGCCCATTTGAGAAACGAACTGCCCTAATAGGCTTTAGGGGCACTTATTTTGACAGCCGCGTGGCCCTAGTCCTGGCAGTCCCCGTAGGCGTCGCTGATGAGGAAACCTTCGTAAAATTTGCTGAACGTGGGCTTCGGGGGATGGCCGGATGACTTTTTGCCGTAACGAGACTGGGCATGCAGGATCTAGGACAACGGGCTTGTTAGTCTAGAACTTCCCAGTGCGGGAAGGCGCCGTCAACCAGGGTTTCGGTCAGATCCCATCGACGGGACAAGACCCACAGCCAGAGTTGAAGGATGCAGCCACTAAATCAATTGTTATGTATTGTTCGAAAGCGGGCTGTTCTGTACAGTGGCGTTCCCCGCAGCTTGAAGTCCCGACATAGCTTCAAAATTATTTTGATCACTTAGCTGTTGAGTGAACCATCGTCAGTAATGCGTGAGCTATTCGGTCAGGCCATTCAAAATACCTCCTAAGGATCTTGCAGGGGAGAATAAGCTGCCGCTCAACTGGCCAAGATACGCTGATCCCCGGGTTTCTCCATTGAAGTTTCTTGTCTGCCATTGCATGAAGATGGGATCCGGATGTACTGCGGCAGTCGGCCCCTGTTCGATACGACGAAAACCCCACAGATCATGCGGAATGACCCATCAGGAGCAGAAATTACCCCTGTTATCCTATTCTCAAAGCCGTTAGGTTGAGTAAGCAATTACCGTCCCGTGGCGACTGCGAATGCTTAAATCTCTTCTGCCTCCCACGGGCAGTGGCACTGCTGCTACCTCTGATGCGTCTGGTTTTCGCAAGCTCATTCTAAGATTGTGGAGGTGGAAGCCTGGGCCCGCCCAATATGGAGTCAGATGCCTATTTGCAGGAGAGCAGGGCTCCGCTTTTGCAGGGTGTGATGCTCACAATGGCTATAGTGCCGTTGATCTTTGTCTTGATGCGATTGTACGTTCGTGTTATCTTGAAGCGGGTTTTTGGTTGGGATGATTTTATCATCATCGTTGCAACGGTGAGTTTTCCGTTCTCTTCTGCGACTTACTTCTCCGGTTCTTGAGACTCATATGATTCTTAAATAGGCTTGCTTGATCGCTTATACTGCTGTTTGTCATGCTGCTTCCACGATAGGTCTTGGGAGACATCTTGCTTTTGTCGCGGAAACCCCGAGCCATGTCATCGATGTAGCGCTGCTATGTGATATCGGTGAAGCCTTGGCTATCATGGCATGTACGTTGGGCAAAACTTCGTTTGCGGTCACTCTCCTCCGCATCGTCGTTCATAGGTGGATGATATACGTTCTCTGGTTTGTGATCGTGACGATGAACGTCGTCAATGTCCTCGCAGCCTTATTCATCTTTGTACAATGCAAGGATCCTAGACACCTCTGGAACCCTGCTATTCCGTCAGAATGTTGGCCTTCGGATGTTTTTACGAACTTTTCTCTATTCGTTGGTGGTAAGTGGTGTTAGAATTTCATCTTGACCATACGGCATGCTAACTTCGGCTTTTATTTTCGCTTGCAGCATATTCTGGTGCGCAAGATTTCGTGCTGGCCCTACTGCCTTGGACCCTTGTCTGGAATCTACAAATGAAGAAGAAAGAGAAGATTGGTATTGCCTTTGCCATGAGCCTGGGCGTATTGTGAGTCTTCCGTTGCAGACCTGACATCAGCATTTTCCGTCAAAACTAACTGTACATCATGAAAGCGCCGGCGCGGCCTCGATCGTCAAGACAACATTTTTGGTGGCATTATCGAAGAAGTCAGACTTTACGTGTAAGAATTCCACACACTCGTCTCCAGATCACAGCTAATCCGTCTTTCCTGAAAGGGGAACTTGTTCCACTGCTTTACTGGGCGGCTGTCGAGGATGGACTGGCTATCACTGCGGCCGCAATCGCTACCTTGAGGCCATTGCTAGCCAAAGTCTTCCCCGGATCATCAATAAACAACAACTACAACATGATTACTTATCCTTCAGCCCCGAAGCAGAAGGTATTTGATAATTCGCAAGGCGGAACGAGCACTGACATCGGACATACGAGCATTCATGAGAGGGGAAGTCAGACTGCAATTCTGGAGCCGGTGTCTCCAAAACGGGACGAAAGTATCAGTTTGACTACGGAAGTTTCGGTCACTTACAATCGACCGTCTTGAAAATGAGGTTATATTGGCACATATAAATGGCCCTGGCTATGAGCAATGGAATGGTTGTAGCTACCTTGGATCGGAAAAGTATAGAACGGAAACGGCTTGGTATCTGCCCTTTACTATACTTTCGGATTTCTCTGACGATGTAATGATCCAAATATTTTCTTTTTATACCCCACTTGCGCTATAATGCTCAAATCAAGAGTTAGTAATGGTCTTTATCTTCTCCATCCATTTCAGTGAGTAATATCCCCGAAAAGTGTCTGTAACTTTCGCCCTTTGTAATTTGTTTTTTTTTTTTGCATTAATTGCTAAGCGATAGTGGTCGTTCCAACTCAATCTTTGAATATCACACTTTGACTATGCTCGCCATGCAAAAGGAATGTAGATGGAATGCTCATCCCGCTCAGGGTTGAAGATTTTATCGATGTCTAAATTCCTCACCCACGCAACCGATCCCCGGGCTATGAAAGCTGAAAATCACGGTCAAAGAACGTCCGATGCTGAGTCCTACGGTAATCGAGAGGCTCAAACTTTTCTGCCAACGGGTTGAGGTAGACGTTGACCTGGAAGGTCAACTTCCACGCTATGCAGATGACCCCTATACTCTGGTTGGCAGGCGATGAAAGTGTGAAATCAAAACCCGCCACCGCTGTCCGTACAACTCGTCGAGAGAAATTCGAATCTGCAGGCGAATATATCGAGGATTGAAGAATTGTGACACTTCAGCTTTATTCAAAAAGCACTCTCATTTACTTCTACATTGCGATCAAGTTGTGGTCTCTGGTCTACGAGACGAGATGCCGGTGACTGTTATCATGCTCGAAAGTAAAAGTTCACGCCGTAGACTCTGTCAGTCGAGATCACTTCATTGAAACCCGCGGCGAAATGATTACGAAGTCTGAAAACAGAAGACGGACTAATAAAGACTTGAAGTATAGCTGCAAAGATCATAGGTTTAGGGTGAACTTGGCACCATCTCTATTACCACCAACCCTAACTCCAGTGATTAAAAGGCTTAGCGTCACACGAAGAGACCTTGCAATCGCTTGGTTTCCACTGATTCTTCTGGATTTCTCGATAATAGAGTTCCGGGTTGGCATGGTTTGCTGGTACTCTAGCAAAAATCTGAAATGGAGGGGGGCATTGATGCCAACACAACTGGCAGGCCTTATAGGTGTTTGCATTGGTCTTTCGCTATGGATGCTGGGGATGTGGTTCGCGTTGAAGGAAACCAAGGGCGGAACAAAAGCCGAGAAGCCTATTACGACCGTCACCCAGGTCGCCAAAAAATGAAGCGTGGCGTGACTTAACCGTTTCGTGAATTTGCTTGACCACCAGTGAAATAGTAACTGCTAATTACCCCATGGTACATTTACACCAAGACGTTCTGCTACACGCATAGCTGAGAAGACACAACCTTCAAGCATGACCATCCCATCCCAACACCAACCTCCGACAAGCCAAACATTGCCATTGCCATTTTGCCAGCCACTGGAAGCTTTCCCTGTACTATAGGCGACTTCCTGCGAATCGAGGATATGGCGTAGTAGATGCCGGCTTTCTGGAGTTCGTAACACCCGAGTGAAGGTCACGGAGTGTAAAATTTTGTCCTGATTGATGGGAATGATAGGTGATGTCGTGATCAAGACAGACGATGGATGTTCGTGGGTTGACTCTGTCGCATTGGTGTTTGAGCACATATGAATAGGCTGTGAAGCTCTTCCTTCTCGGTCGCGAGAAATTCGCGCTCGTAAGCTTTTATTACAGTCATCAAGTCTTATAGAGTCCAAGTGCACAACGGTGGGAACTTTCATGGTCGGAACTGATCCCATAGCCTCCCGAAGAGGCAGAAAAATCGACCCAACGACGTCGGGCGTGACAGCCATGATAACATGATCGAACAGGGCCGAACTCGAATGGCCAGACTGTTCATCCCTCCAAGTGACTCTGACATTTGATCCGACATTCTGAACCGCTGTCACTGTGGAAAGGAATCTGACTTTCTGGCCCTTCGTGAGAGATTCCTGAATCGTGCGAACTCCCCCAACGATAGTGTAGTGGGGCTGCCGAAAGGTCTTTCTTTCATATTCGACGAGATCGACTGCCGGAAAATTCAACAGCATATCATGTGGACATGTTGTGACACTGGACAATAACGGAAGAAGATAATTTTTCACGTAGTACCGTGGCAACTTTATTCTCTCCACATATTGCCTGAAATTCTCCTCTCTTCCTGTCCCTTCGGCCGTCTTTGGCCTAATCAAGAAGCAACAAGCAGTAAACCAATAGTAGCAGATGGCAAGATAGACCAACTCGAGAAGCCAGAAGCCTAGTGAAAGGCTTTCGGGTCTCAAGGGTGGAACTCGATGGTTGTTCGAAGAATGTATGAAGTAAGGATTTATTTTTGTGTTTGCGACTCCACGGATGGATGACAGAGTATATATGAAGCGAGGAGAGGCATATCGGACTCCAAAGTAGTCATACATTCGCCTGAGGTAGGTGTAATATCCGTCTGCAAAAGCGCGCATGGGGAGATCTACTCGATGCTCTTTTGAGAAATTGCCGTGATCGGTAGGGATTGTGAGCGAGGCAGAATCGAGGGACACTTTGTCTTGCTTGAAACGCTCCTAATTCAGATTAATCCATTGAAAAATGTGGAAGAAGAGCTTACCCTCTCAAATAATTCCACCTCAAAGCGGCTGGCATCGCTTCTCAGGAGGTAGGCTGTAACGAGGCCAGCCATCCCAGAGCCGATGACAGCTACTCTTTGACGGGGTAGACCTCGCGACGGCATGGCGCAGGCGACAACTTATCTTGGGTTCTAAGTCAAGTTCGTGCGCCTGCCATCTAGACAGTAGAGTTTGAGCGACAATTCAGGTTTCGCGGTTTGCTGCCCCTCTGGCGGAAAAGCTTTGTCAGCAGCAATTTTGCGAACCTCGGCCGGTTGACCAGACACCGCTAGTTGGACCCTGTTGAACCCAAAGTAGCCAAGATCTTCGACTTCTATCGAGAAACCCCATATTTTAACCTGCGGCACTGGTGATAGGAAGGGAGGGACTTTCTCCTTTGTTCTCTTTGGCAATGCGATAATTGGCAGACAGACATCAATTGATCTGATGAGATACCCACTGGGCACAGATGATCCAGTCGTCTGGTTCTCCAAGCAGCCGTACTTTGCAGCTTGGCAGTCCTGACCAGCGATATGGTCATTCAAATTGGGAAGAGGCGGAGGGCAACGGGCCAAGCGCATCAATCCGTTGCCCAGTCACATCGTCTTCTTTGGTAATCTGTAGATCTGGCGTTGAAGTTCTACCAATCTCAATGGCCAACGACAGAAAGACTCTCCGGGAGACCATACCTCTCTCCTCCATGAATGAAGACCAACTTCGTCGTGGTACTCATGTGGCTAGTCATGGCTATGTGAAGGATGGAATTAGCCTAGAATCTGTCCAATCCACGCACCACGAAGAAAAGCCAGACTCGACAATGAGGCGGAACGGTCAACCCTGTGGCTATCTGGGATAACCTTGCAGTTGTGCCTGATATTGGGAACGGTCATTCTTGTTGTCAGACAGAAAAGGTATATCTTTACAGCCCGTTTTGTTAGGAGTCTCCAGGGTAGCTGCGATAAGTAATACCTATTGCCTTTTCAGAAATTGTCAAGTGAATGTGGATCGGCCAGGGCCATTGTGTGAGCAACAACCCACTTTGTTCTCATCGGGGTAGGAAAATTGCTCGTGCCGTGCGATAAAATTCAGAATCTCCACTGTCTCTCCAATCGTATGTCAGTGTGTTACCTGGAAAGCGATCGAAGCCGGAAATTTCATACCGCGAAACTATAACTGTTCTCATCGCACACAATCTAATCGACGACAATCTCCAGCGTACGTCGACAAAAATCTCATCGGGAGCGGGATGATTACCCAAGCCGCAATATACTCAATTACAGATAATGAGGTCATGGGGGCCAGCCTGCATTTCAGTGCAAGTTGTTGCTTTCGCTTTTTTTGTTTTCGACTTTTCAGCGGTGAAATCGTTCACCTGAACTACTTTAGCGTCTACCTACAGCCTATGGCTGGGGAATTGTGGAGTCTTAGAGACTCGTCTGGGGATGTGGGCTTCCGGTTCTATGGTCATTCTTATATTTGGGCCCACTTTAGATCCTTCACCCCCGGGCTTGATTTGTCACTGTGTATACATAATATAGCGCTACATAACATATGGCGTTGACGACACAAACCCGAGGTTCGATTCCAATATTATCACAAAACTACCTGCTGCTGGTCACTCTAGCCACACGCCCTGCAAAAAGCTCGCCTGATGGCCTACACGCACTGTGAATGAGTAGGTTAGACACCTGTGCAGAGACCTGTTATCAGATCGCAGGGCTGTGGGCACTACATATTTGAGGCTCATCAGTAAACATCTCTAGTGCAAATGTATAGTCGGGAATGAGCGAAACTCGGAAAAGTCACTTACGCAAACGACTGGACCGGTGGGGTTAGATGCAGCCGGACACACCGCGAGCGGGCTACAACAGCCTGGGCTACGACCACCCACAATACATATATTACCACTTGGGCACTATCAAGGTGTCAGTACCCTTTCAAGCTTGGTTGAAAGGTTACTTACGCAATCTCCGGTCGCAGGACAGAGTGGAGCCGTAACTGGACAATTGCATTTCGCGGCGGCGCATGTTCCGGAGCACTAGTAATCCCAGTCAATGATGCCATGTCTATAGGTGAGATATTCATGACGGTCTAAGACAAAATTCGAAAGAATAAAATGACATCTAGCTTTATAGCCACAGCAACGGGGCTGGTTCACTCGATGATAACAGGCCGACGTGAAGGTATGATGAAAGGGGAGGTAAAACTTACAATCTGGCCACATTTTCCACAGTTGTTTGGATCAAAATTGATGTTCGTGCAAACTTTATTACAACATGACGGTGTTACTAAGGGGCACTAATAAATGTCAGCACTATGATCATAGGAGGGGGTAATTGGAGACACAGACAGTAACCATGCACGCTCCACAGTTCTTCACATCATTACTGAGATTCACACATTGTCCGAGACAACAATTTGGTTTCGCCAAGGGACACTATTTAATCATAAGTGGTTGATTACTTATTGAATTGATGAGCAGACCAAAAGAACTCACGGTGGTTTTGCAAGTTCCACAGTTATTCGGGTCACCACCCAAGTTCACGCATTTCCCGTCGCAGCAGTTTGGAGCCGTGGATGGGCACTAATAAGGTATCATTAGGCCATGAGTATTGAGCAGGGTAGTCTAAAATTTGGCAAGGCTCACGATGTTACCGCAAGTGCCACAGTTACTAGAATCTCCGGAGAGGTTCACGCAATTTCCACCACAGCAGGTAGGGGCCGTAGCAGGGCACTAAGGAATTAACAGACCATATATTAGGATAGCTCAGACATCAGTAGAACTCACGGTGTTTTTGCATGATCCACAATTATTCGAATCACCTGCGAGATTCACACACGCTCCGGTACAACAGTTAGGTGTTGATAATGGACACTTGGAAAAATTAGAATGAATTTTCATCGTAGCGTTGTAGGGAGATGAGGGAAACTCACGCTCGTTGTGCATGATCCACAATGACCACTATCAGTACCAAGATTCACACATTTTCCGCCACAACAAGTCGGGGTCGCCAAAGGACACTAACAAATATTAGTGACCAAGTACAAATCCATATGCTGAAGAAGCTCACTGTTGTTTGGCATGCCCCACAGTTCAGTTTATCACTATTGAAATTCACGCAAACCCCGCTACAACAGTTTGGGGCCGTCGTAGGGCACTAACAATGATCAGTAAAATCTCACAATGGGGGTGATCGGATAAGGGAAACTCACTGTTGTCTTACATTGCCCACAATTGGAGGGATCACTAGCCAAATTGACGCATAGGCCACTGCAGCAATTCTCTACAGCTTGGCAGGCAGAACCTGGACAGCCACCACAATGGAGTGGGTCTGAAGAAGGGTCACTACAAGTGCCAAGACAGCAAGTACTTTGTGGTGCCGTGCACTATAGGATTCTCAGCGGGAATAGAATTCCAAGTATAGTGTGGTGGAATTGGTACTTACCTGAATAGCACAAGCTCCACAATTAGCAGTGCTGTCACTCAAGTCAGTACACTGCCCAGAGCAGCATGCAGGCTTGACTCCTTGACAAGGTACAGTAAGACATGCTCCGCAGTGATTGATATCGGTAGCGATGTCGTAGCAAGCCCCCAAGCAACACGCTGGCTGGACTCCAGTACACTAAAGAAAATGTCTGTTAGCAAAACGAGCTTCCCTTTTGGTAAATGACGCAGTTTGCTCACCTCTGTCGTGCAACTTCCACAGTTAATAATGTCTGTAGCAAGATCTGTGCACTCGCCGGAGCAGCATTCAGGATTTAAACCTAGACAAACCGAGGTAGTGCCGTTGACAATGCCGAGACTACTGCAGGAACCGCAGTTGACGACGTCCGTGCTTGTATCTGTGCATTTACCACCACAGCAAGTCGGAGCCGTTGCATTGCACTAGCCGCTAATATTAGACCCGACTTGTTGAAGAAGACGTTCGATAGAAAACATGGAGGGGATTCACGCTTGTTGTACAGTGTCCGCAATGCTGAGCGTTACCGGCCAAGTCGTAACAGGTCCCTGCACAGCATCCAGGAACGTTTCCGGTGCACTGGGTGTAGAGATCAGATACTGTTGATCTTGTAGTATGGCGGAAGACGTTCTCAACTCACGACCTGGGAACAATTTCCACAATTCAGTGTATCGTTGGCCAAATTTGCGCAGAAATTGTTGCAACATGTTTCAGAGGAGGGGCACTACAGGCAATTTAGCCATCAAGTTCAGGGACGATGCGAGAGGGAAGGTCGATTTAGCTGATGATGTAACTTACTGGCCATGGTAGCCAAGGCGCGCAGAACTGACCAGCGTCCGAAGTAGAAGATGAGAGCGTGCTAGGCGTTGTCACAGTCACGTTGACCCTCACGAGCGAAGTCCCAGGCGGCGGTTTCGCCTCCACATAATGAAAGGAACCAAACTGAAGGACTACTACATAATCAGGATCCTCTCTTAAACGAAGCAGAAATTGTCCTACCAAAGGGAATGATGCGAAATGCTAATATCTTGACCATGTTGGGAAACCCTGGGTGAGATATGATGCTAGAAAGCTTCGGTATGAGCAATTCTCAATGATGTTGACCAGATCATATGCATTGGGAAACCTAACAGGCTCACCCAGCAATAAGGAATTGCCCATCTTATGTGTAGTATCTGAGCGGCACAATCTCATTTCCACGTGACGATTTCAAGTTCGGGCAGTGGGATCTAGTTCATGTTGCGTCCTCTTAGGGTGGGACGCTCCTGCACGCGTCCGAGCTCTCAGTTGTATAGACTTTACTTAACGAACTCGGTTAACTTTATGGGTCACTCAAGGGTCCTACCCAGCAAATTGGGTAAACAGACAGCACATAGTGGGGTTCTACTCTGCTAGGTTCCCGCTTCTGGTGGGTCACACAGCTGCCGAGTCTAAATGTAGCCTAATCGAGGGGCATAGAAAATTGGAATATGCGTAATACAAGCTAGCTCATCATCATCATTGTTGAGAAAGAGATTGATCAAAAGTCCGGGGAATCTTCTTACTAAAACTGTTACAAAGGTGTGCCCCATGAACCTAGTATACTACCTTACCCATCGCGTCACAGTAGCAGAGCTAGGTGATCGTGTCACTCTATGAGCTGAAAACCCGAAGTTTCGGGAATCATCAATGTACTTGACAAGGGGCGGTGCACTCAACGATCTTTCAATTGTAAGTTTCTCCATCCAGAGATTATCACAAAGGAACCCGGTCAAACACAAGCTTCAGTGATGGAAAAATTGATCGGGCAGTATCCATAATGTTGAGAGTTCTTTCCTTATTATCAAGAAGACTCACTTGTGCCGATCATTCAAGCCTCTAAGTTCACTAAGTAGAGCTGAGTATACCTGTGACGGTAGCCTATGCGTGATACAAGCCCTACTTCTTGAATTGGTATGTGACGGAGCGAAACTGATATTAACGACATTAGACTCAGTCTGGATTATATGGAGTGAAATCACCTACAGCTGGCTCCGGAGCATGATTTGCATGCTCCGTTCGGGGGATATGTAGACCAGAATACGCGGTCAAAGCTTTGGAATTTAGCTGGAGCAAAAGTGGTCCAATGCCTTTCATTACGCAGATAACGGGAATACTGGTATAGGGGGTTATTTACACAAGACTGCGGACCCAGCCCCAGAAAATAGCCTTTCGAGTCTGGGTTGGGAGATCATAGCCTTTCACCCTGCATAGTTGTTTTGAGAAGAAGCATATGAGATCGAAGATATATAGCGGGAGTGCAAGCAAAATGATCCTAATATAGGTAGATGTGGGCAATATCAACGTCCCCTGGGGGAAGAATTTCATTACGTAAAATTTCCCTCAGATCGTATTCTTTGTCTTCTTGGTATGGGAGAGTGGTAATGGTTGGAAATATAATCTTAAAGAAAGTGAAGAATATTGTGCAAGCTGGCTTGGCATAGGCAAGTAAGCGGGGCCGGCTGGAACTCGCTCGCTCGGGTTCCTTTTCATCCCCAAAGATCCTCACGGCAACCTCCCCACAACGTCACCGGACAGCCAAGGCTCTGATCCTTGGCTACTTGATTTCTTGACAGCAACCTAGAGACGTACTAGTCGACAGGAGAGATGTTAGGGTTTTTCAAGAAGCCTCTGGCGAGCAAGATATACGGGTTGGACCATGCAGTGCTCAACATGCAGCTGCCGCCTGAAACTATGTGGATGAACATGGGATACTGGGAGGTAAGTGATGCTTTCCGAAACTCTTTTGGCATTTAATTGACACGTACAGGACACCCAAAACTTTCCAGAGGCCTGTGAAGCTTTGCTTGACCAGGTTCTGAAGACTGGTCTCCTTACGGAGACGGCCAAATCAGTGCGCGTTCTGGATGTTGGATGCGGATGTGGTGACCAATCAGTCCATATTACAAAACTCAGGAGAAACCCCCTTTCTTCTACTATTACCGACACATCTCAATCCGGGCTTAGCTCCTCGGTCGGGGCCTCCGATTCTATCCTGCAACGGAAGAGCAGTGGGAGCGAGTCCTCCAACCCCCTTGTCGATAATTACGTAGGTATAACTCTACTTCCTTCGCAGGCAGAGGTTGCCCAAAAGCGAATGCGCTCGTATAAAGAGCTTAACAACGATGAAATTATTTGTCCCTCCGCGGATGTTTTCTGCGCCGATGGGGCCGACCCCTTGAGTTGGACTGGCGAATTGAAGGATTCCATTTCCTACATTGGTGATACCTCGCTGAACCCGGATACATCTACATGGTTGCTGGCTCTTGATACGATGTACCACTTTCAGCCCTCGCGACTCCCTATCCTTCACTACGCACAAAATACCCTCCATGCATCCTTTATGGCCTTTGATCTCCTCATCGCGGATAACACTTCCTGGTGGCAGCGTCTCAAAATGCGCCTAGTGTGCTGGGTGACTGGGTCGCCTTTTACGAATTTCCTGACTCGAGAGGAGTATGTGCGTCTCCTGATAGCCGCTGGCTATGATCCCTCTCGCATTGAGATCAAGGATATTTCTCGTCACGTTTTTCCTGGGATTACGGACTTTTTGGGCAGGAGGATACGAGAGGGACAGCCTTATGGTATCAAACTGGGAAAGTTTCGTGGGGCTAAAGCTGTGTTTGGCTGGTGGGCTCGAAGTGGAATTGTAAGAGGCGTGGTCGTTATTGCAAGGAGGTGATGATAACATGGAGACTTGCGACCCTTGACATCACAAGCCTATCATGAATCATATACATTAGATTTTCTTATATGCGTGTGAATATTTAAATCTATAAGATCCTGAAAGTGACCGTTGTCCAGCTTTTATCCGAGGAACATCTCCTCAATTTGCAGGAGACGGACTCTGTGGGTTGCGGAATACATTCTCGGGATCAATCTCCTCCTTGATCTGCTGCAGTCGCAGAAGGTTAGACCCCCAGTATGCCTCAGGACCATTCGTCATAAGAGGGTCAACATAACCTGGATAAGCCGCATACGGAGCTCCATCATTGGTGACAAGCGTGTTAACTTCGTCCAGGAAATTGATCTGGGTCTGTGTAACGGAACCTAGCAAGTTTATGCTGTACGATTGCAGCCAAATGAGAACGTCACGGTGCGCATACCCCGTCGCATCTGTCGGGATATCGTTGGTGTAGCCACCCTGGAAATCAAATAGAATGAACCAAGCCAAAGTCCCCTTATCCGCACTGTCGATATATTCAAACATCTTGTCGATTGTGTTGGAGTCCATCAGATTGCCGGGCGTCCAAGCCGTGGACTTGGAGTAAAATTTCGAGGGAACACCCCCTCCAAGCTGCAAGACAGCTTCTTCGGCCCAGTTACCGACAAGGCCGAGCCAATCTTGGAAGACGATAGCACTTCCATTCACACCGGGCCATTGGCTGCCTATGTCTAGTGCGTTGTATTCTTCCTCCGTGCCGAAGAAAGTGCCCGTGATGATCATGCTGTCTTCAAGTACAGTGAGTGTGGAAGCTAGCTTTCGTGTCAAGCTGGGGTTGGACACATAGGCTTGCCATTGTTTGAACAAGCTGGCACGCCCTCGAGTGCTTCCAGGCTTGAGTGTATACTCATACTTGACAGCGGTGCCGGGCTCGGGCTCTGTTCGGACCTTGAACTCGGTGACGATACCAAATCCAGACGCAGCGCCCTTGATAGCGAAGAAAACGTCCTGGTTCTGCGTGTCCGATGCTGTCACGATACTCGAGTTGGCTAGCACAACTTCTGCTTCAACGATATGATCCAGGGCGGCGCCAAACTGTCGTGAAGTTGGGCCGAGGCCCCCAATTGTGAAATGTCCACCGGAGCCAACCTGCGGACAAGTTCCGTGAGACATGGCTCGTCCTCCCGCTTCGTGGAGACGTTGTGTCACGTCTCCCAGCAAGGTTCCGGACCCAATCGTGGCAGTCCAGGTTGTGCTGTCCATTGAGAAATGTTGGAAGTGCTTCAAATCAACGACAACGGCTCCATCGGTTCCACCTAGGCCTGTCACCATTACTGATATATTAGTCCAAATTACTTCAAGGGTAAATATTTCACCCGGTCATGCTGCTCTGGAAGATCACGCACCGTAATTGCCATAGCTGTGCCCTCCGCTCTTCGCTTGGACGGGATATCCATTGTCTGCAGCACATTTAACGACCGCAGCAACCTGTTGTGACGAAGTCGGAAACGTCACCCCTGCTGGATTTACGGGGATGTTCAGATTATAGCGATTGACGTCGGCCTGCTGATAGAATAGATCTCCGGGGAAAGCGACACTGCCGCTTTTTGTTAATGCTTGCCGGAGGCATGAATTTAAGCTATCACTGCCACTAGCGACAGCAACGGACGCAACACTTGCAGCGAGAAGGAGATCTCTGACGGCGGCCATGCTCATTTTCAGGCGAGATTTCCAAGCCCTTCCGAAATAGCTTCACGTCTGCAGTGAAAGGTGTGGCCTCTATTTAAGCACCGGTGGAGTCGCATGGCCAGTCGAATGGGCACCACAGCCAAACATTCTTAGGCTAACCTCAACTCAAACCTGCCGAACACCCCCGGTCGCTTTGTCGCTACAAAAGAAACCGCCGCCCCAGAGGCAGGTTTGACTGCTTCCACTAACACGCATCGGACCAAAAGCACCGGCCCCATCGCGGTAATTTGATGTTTGACTAGCCCAGTCCGAAGGATGCCAGTGCCATGGGTGAACTCATTTTGTACTTGGCAGGCTTTGGAGGTGATAATCGCCAGCGCTCGGGTCCTCGCACGATGTGGAGATTCGAACCAAAAAAAACCCTTGAAACTCAATTTTGAGTGTCGATCTTCAGTCCGCGGAGACTTTTTCAGGGGCACATTTTGAGTTCATCTCGATGTGCACGATAGCTTCTTACAAGGGTCATTGCTGGGAAGTTTGGATCAACAACCACGTGGATTTTAACGGGTCAATCGATACTATTATGTACAGATGAGTATTCTAGGAAACGGGGGCGAGCTGGATTCTCGGAGCATGGCCTAGTCCCTTGATCTGCCGTCGCAGACTCCACCTCGCAACATAAGTGCTCAACAGTTAATGCATTGTATGCATCACGATTCAATTCCCTCTGGGTCTCTGACCGACGACCCGAAGGAACAAAGTCTTGCCCGTGATCGCCGTTGATACAGTTGTGAGGGCTGCCCGAAGCAAAAGTATAGCAAAGCAGGTACAGGACGTGATCTACGATCTGGCATGGTATGCCTTTCTTATGCTAGGGCCAACCTAGTCTACACGATCTGTGGGTTTTTTGGGCGGGCGGTTTGCCCCCTCCACTATGGCAGCCCCAGTCACGACAGAATACATACCTACCTGAATACCCATTGTCTGGGTTATTAAATAATCCATCAGCAGAGGACGGCTTTGGATACTTTGTCATTACTCAGATCAAACGCTGGAATCGCGGGAGCGAAGAAACACACTATATAGTGCTGGAGGTAGACAATAGTATGAATGAAGTAACTAAGGGCTAAGTTACGGAGCTTGATTGGCATATAATCCCCCATACCTCTTTAATGGATTTCTTCTCAGAGTTGACATTCCGATATCATTTGATTCATATTTATAGATGCTAGGTAGTCAAATCTGAATATTCTGTGTTCAAAACTAGATCATTTATCATTAGCGAATGATGACAGAATGTTCGTGCCAGCCTAACAGATTAGGTTTGGGGGTGAGATCTTAGTATGAAGTCGAGTCTACTATGTAATATAGACGTATACGATCATTCAAAACACCTCTGATGATTCAACACCCCTTTGTTCTAACTCTTTTGCAACTCTTCCAAAAAAACAAAACATTTCAAGTTCCACCAGCACGAGCACTGAAGATGGCTGATGATCAACACTGCTCTCTTTCTACATCCATTCTATCTTCGTTGGTTGGGCTCCTCATCGGGCTATCCATCTTCATTCTCCTCGATACCGTTATCAAACGTATCAAGAAACAATGGGCCAAAGAACGAAAGGACCCGGACATCGAGCTTCAAAGCCATGCACCCAAACCTCCACTTGATCCGCTCGCCTCCGATACCCGTCGTCTGACAGTCACGACTGTCAAGACTAGGCCTGGACACGCTTTATCCGATATGGATCGAGATATTAAACGTCCAGTCGCAGATTGTCAAGAGATACGGGACCAAGAGATACGGGACCTTAAGGCTGCAATCTTTGGAAACACTGGTGAATCTACTGGAATCAGCTATGGGAGCTGAAGAATTTGCTCATCTGGGAATCTGATTCGCTGAATTGTTAATGGGACTCTTGTTGTGTCTGGCAGTCATGGAGCACTATATAGACAACGACTAATCCCAGTCAGCGATTATGCAAAACTTAGCAATGATTAAGTAGTCGGACTATCAGAAAATCGAAAACGACCATGTCCCGTTGCTCAATACTTTGAATTACCTTATAACTGTCTAGAACCTAGTTTATTGGATACTGGATAGATCCCAGGGTAATGTTATAATATCTCGAAAATCCAGAGGGCTAGCAGTAGGAGCGGCGATGGATAAGACGATGGGAAAGATGAGCTCCGTTAGAGAAGATTTACTCGAGAGTCCACTTTGGAGAGATTACTGAAAAGGACATTATCTTGACAAGAGGGATGTGTCCTGGAAGTAATTACGTCTGGGGCTGGCCTCACCATCTCGGAGTGGTATGCCTCCGAAGGGATGCTAACGAACGTAATATCGCGAGCTGGAATATGGCAATGCCGACTGTAGCCCGAAATATTGATATCCCACCTGACTCGAGCCAATCCTACTCGTAACTGATGATCATCTACATTTTAAGAATCAAAGTTAAAGAGTAAAGTGTGTCTATTCAAAAAACTGCACTGTGTAGAATCATCACTCATAGTCATCTGCCACCTTCATCTGCAGCAGCCAAATAGTATGGCATACCACAAAGTAAAAAATTCAAAACAAAAGTCGCTCATAGAATATTGACAAGAAACAAAAGAGCAGTGGGATGGGGAAGCTATCACTAGAGTGATCGCTCCCCTGAATCATTCCCATCGTCGAAGGCAGCAGGGGGGGACAAAACAACAGCGCATGAATCAGACTGCGGGGAAAGCGTGTTTTCTTTTTTTTGTTTTTTTTTTCTTGATTATTTTATTTCTTCGACTAGGCAAAAGTGCCAACGCCGTGCTTGGACTCGGAAAGACTTGAATCGGTCTTGCGCGAGGCCAGGAAGTTCTTGAACATGTCAGAGATGGCCTTCTCAGAGGCCTCATTGCGCTCCTTGGTGCCGTTCTTCTCCATGATCAAACCACGGAGCCAGTGGTTCTCCAGCTCCAGCTGGGAGACGCGAGCCTCAAGGGCATCGTTCTTGTCGTTGGTCTCCTTGAGGCTACGCTCCAGAGCCTGCTCACGCATCTTCTTCTTCACACGGAAGCGAGCGCTGGCAGCGGTGTTGCGGCGACGCTTGTCCTCCTCGGCCATAACGCGGGAAGCCTCCTCGGCACTCGTGGGAGAGGCCTTGGAAGTGCTCTTCCGCTTGGCGGGAGCGGCAGAGGTGTCCGGCGAAAGGGCATTCTGGACGGGTGTGGCCGCCACGCTCGGAGGAGCAACGATGGGCACATTTTGAGCGGGAACCGAGTTAGCCGCCACGGGTCCGTGAGACACGGAGGGGACCGCCGCGTAAGGCGCATGTTGCACGGGGATCGACGCGTTCAGGCCATTCAGCTCGTGCTGGTACTCGGGCATGTTGCCGAGGCCATCTATTGCGAATCATATATTAGCCATCCATCGTTTCAGCTCTTTAGAATCCACTTGGTCGCGCGCTCCTCGGTCAACCCCGAATTGGATTGGTTGGACAAATTCCCTTGAAGGGCTTGGTAGTGTTCCTTTCCGATCACGTGGCATGGCGTAATAGCGGAGAAGATTCACGTCTGCAGCAGTCCAATTGCCAGCCACCGATCGAAGGCACGAAAAAGAATCTGCACGCGCCACACGGATGACCTGCAGCCCTAAGGGGGAAACACCAATGACTTTCGCGTCAGGGTCTGCAAGAAGGGTATGGTTGGGCGTAGGGTGGAAATGGGCACATCCAGCAGGTTGAAGACGACATCCAGCCAAGACGTGGGTTGGTGCGACCAAAAACCAACATCAAGTGGGGGGAGTCAGGCAAGCCAGTTCGGTAGTGACTAGTCACCAGCCCTCATGCAGTCATGCACGAAGAACGATATCCGGCGACCAAGACAATCGGAATGGTGTGACCAAGAAATCGTACCAATGCCATCTTGGATGGCAAAATGTCCAACCATCGAGGGCGCGACCAATAGAATCCAACAATATCTCCTCATATTGACTTACCATTCAGGAATTCCAAGAATTTGATATCGGCATTTTGGGTAGACTGGTCCGCGATGGACTCGACGGGGGAAGACTTCTGATCGACGGCATCGAAGGTAGGCAGGCCAAGGTCGGTGAACTTGTCGAAATCGAAGAACTCGGTGTTGGTGAAAAGAGCCAGTTCCTCGTCGAGGTTGAAAGTGTTCTCCTGCTGGCGCTGCTGCACAGCCTGGTCGTAGGGCGACGGGATGGTGTTCAAGTCATCGAGGTATTGGGCAAAGTTGGGGGCACGGCGCCCGTTGAAGTTGGCCATTTTGATTTTTGGATCAACGTTCGTTGACGATGAACAAGCGTTCAAATCGCGGGCTGTCGGGAGTCCGATGTAATTGCTCGACGTTGAAAGCCGAACTGTTGCGCGAGCGCAAACGCTGTGAAGGTGACTCGGGCGCACCGGGTGCGGCTCTGGGCCGTTGCGGGTGAGACGGGTCAACCCAGGTGGAAGGCGATCGTTGAAACTGTCGTAAAAGCCGGATGGGATAGATTCCAAAGGCGCGTCGCGATGGAATCAAGGGCGTTGAGGTTAGTGGAGAGAGCTGGAGAAAGGGAGAGAGGGTAAAGAGGGTCGAGTCAATGTGGGCGCTCGTGGAAGGGCCAAAGTGGGTTTTTTTTTCTTTTGGAATCGCCGGGTGGGGGTTCCTCTTGGAACTTGGAGGGGGGGATGAGTAATCCACACGTTGTCGCCTCCGGCGGCAGCGCAGCCACCCCGTATTACAGGTTTTATCCTTTCAGTCGATCACACTTAATTGACTAGGCTTAATCTTCTATTACTCGAGTTTCGTTTAGTGATATTGAATGTGATCTTCTTGCTGACTGCCAGTTCTTGCTCTGATACAGAATTATGTTGGAGGCAGCGGAACTGGTTGCACCGTCGGAACCCTCGTGGAACTGGCCGAAGATCGGAGCGGCACTCTAGTCTCGAGTCACTTCCACTGGCCTTACCCTAGGATCCACACTACAAAGATCCACTCCCGGAAAGAGTTCCCCAAGCGGGGGAGATTTCACCCAGAGCCCGCACAGATCATGAGAGAAACGATCGTCTCATGATTGCACGGTGTTGTTCTGCCTCAATATCTTGTAAGATCTCTCGTCTTCAACATCCGGGTGTTTACAATATAGGGATCCTAGAATTATAGCGACAAGCGCGGCTGCAGGATCAGAAGAAAATATGTGCGCCGCTCGCCACCTGCACCTCTCATTGGCGGACGTGCCAGCCCGAATTGGTCAGCCCGAGTTCGGCGGGGTGAAGTCACCCTGCGCTCATCGGGCCATGCGGAAACGCTCTTCTTCTTCCCTGATTGTCCCGATCTGTTAACTAGTTAAGGTTGCGAGAATTATTAATCCAAGCTCGGATGCTTTATCCATGGATCGCGGTTGAGTGGTACAAGTACTAGTAGACCGTGAGAAACAAACATCGCAAAGTTGGGAACTTTTAAGACTGGGTGCCTTGGTTATGACTGGGCGTTTTATTGACAGGGAACACATGCAAGTCATTCTGATCGTTCATCCACCGAGGGTTTTTAGTTATAGTTGAGGAGCACGGACAGCCTCCGCTTCGGCGGGACTAATCAGGATCAGCCAGACTAGTTCGGAATCCTAGCATGTTAATGCAAGTTAATATCAAGTCTCCGTGGTAGATAACGGCGCCCCCGTCGAAGTATATAGGGCGGGTATGGGACGCATCTTGGGCCTTAGAGAGGCATTGTCACCATCTTGGGCCCGGTTGATTGAATCTTGTGGATGTACAATGGCTCTATTGGAGATCACCGAGTTCTCTAAACTCATAAAGAGCAGATAGTATATCGTGGTGCTAGACGGTTATCGGCCAACCTCCTCGTCCCGGCTCATCCGCCTGATCCCGCCTGATCCCGCCTTGTAGACTTGAAATCCACGTGACACATTTGTTTGGCTTTATCACCACGTGACTACTATTGTTGATACTCGGCTTCATCGCGTGGAACTCGATCAGAACAAAAAGAAGATCCCCATTCCGCCCGATATCATGCAAATCGATTGAGAGCCCGTGCTTGAATGCGTCGTCTTCTCATTTTTCTCTAATCACCAACACAATTTGTCAACCATGGCGCGCGCCAAACCCCTCCGCGTCCCAACGACTGGCAGTCTACCAAACAACCTTCGCATCCCCTCATCGACACCCTCCCTCGCCAAATCTCTCAGCAAGCACACCCGCCAAGCCCTTCTGGATCTAGCCCAATTCTGGCTTGATGACCATAATATCACGCTATTCCCTCCTTATCTCAAATCCGACGCCCGCAATGATACGAACGACGAAGAAACCCTCCCATACCCGGCAGCCGAAACCATCGACGAAGTCCGCCAAGTCTACATTGACCTACAAGACCGCAAGGGGGGGAAACGCGAGGTCCTAGAGCGGATACTAGAAGGCGACTGGCGCCATGGAATCACGTTGCGACAGCTCGCAATGTCGGATATACGCTACATGGACGATCACCCTTCCAGCTTACGCTGGACAGCCCTGGAACTCAGTCGCATCGATGCAAGACCGAAAGACCCGCTCGATAACCCCGTACCCGACTGGTCGGCCAATATCCCACGCACACAAGCGGCGACTTTCGTCCGAGCCCTGCAGCAAGAAATCAGCCCATTCGTCAAAGCGCATTACCACCTCTCCCGCTCGACGGTCCTTCCCCTAACGTTCCTGCGCATTTTCGTCCTCGAATCGCCCTATCAAGCACCACAACAGAACCCAGAGATCTACTCCGACTCTTCGCGCGTGATATACGTCGCCTTCCCGGATAGCTGTCCATACATATACACCTCCGTTTCCAGCTCGACGGGCACCTTATCCGGGCCGCCGAAGAATACGGTAGCCACGGATCCGAAGAGTTTACAGCGGCTAGTGCGCGATGCGGTTCCAAAGGCCCTTTCCCGCCCTCACGAGCGGTATATGCTGAAAGCGACGGGTCTGGCAGCGAAAAATTTACCTACATTACTTGCACTGCGTGGTCCCGGCAGGACGACGGCCGCGAATGGTGCTTTCAGTATCTTTGCTGATGCAGCTGTGGAGGGGAGTCCGTTGGATCCGCGTCCGTCGAATACGGTCTCTGCGGAGGAGTATATGCGTGAGGATGTCAAGATGGTATCGACGGAAGATAAAGAGAATGAACGTCCTGCTGATGGCATGGGCCCTGCATCGAAACGACACACTGCTAGTGGTGACGGCACGGGTATCGACCATCTCTCTCCCACATCCAAGAAACGACGACTCGCGACCCATGCGCGGTTCGGCACGGCGGGGGGCTGGATAGCCCCAGCACCCCTCGACCGTCTCGATGTCCGGCTTTTGGATGCACCATCTACGAGCAATGAAGATGCTACGGCTAGTGCTACCGCTTCCGCCTCCGCTGCGCAACCTACAATCTCATTGTCATTCTCGGGCTCTGATGTGATCGGGGGAATTCGTAGACTTGCTGATCTGGGATTGATCGATCCCGAGAGAATGCCATCCTGGATGACCGGCGAAGAAGCCGTGAGTGTAGCCGTTGTACGTGGCGGGAAGCGACTGAAGAGTTCTACTTAAACTTGTCTGGCTGGGCTGTTCACTATTGGTTATATTTGGATTTTTTGCGGTTTGTATTACATTTGGCGTCTGGGTTCCATGGGATGCTGGAGTAGCTGGAGCATCTTTTGTCGTGATGATACCCATATTCAGCAGGTTTGCATGGTTTATTTTGAATTGAGTGCTGGGTCCACTATGGTGATGCGACTAGCATGTTCGTTGAATCGAATTTCCCTTTCTTTTGACTGGTTTGATCGGTCGATGGTACTGTAGTCGGGGCCGTGGTTTAGGGCATGCTGGCGGTGCTGTATCTTAAACTCGATGGTCAATACGGGTCAGTCATAACGGTCAATTACCGGTTATAATGGTCAATGACCTTGTATCGATACACTGTTTTTTCTCGTGCTAGATCTAAGGCTAAGCCTGGAGATATACCACAAACCACAAAAAGCATTTCATGTAACATGGACACGAGCGAATCAATGTCAAAAGAGGTCCCTTGGCCCAGGCATTTGAAGACAACGGATGAGTAGCTCCTTGGACCTGACTGAAACTGCCTCCTGGATTATCCGCAGGACGGAAGTATTGGAAACGATTCACGGGAAATGTATGGGATAGAACAGCTCAGACAATAAACATATTTCAATAATTCAAACTGGGTATCATCAATACACAATAATAAAACAGCCATCACTCTTAAGCCTGCCCTGAAACGCCACCACCCATCGTAATTCATGTCGTATCGGTAGCACCAGAGTAAGCATGCGGAATCAAGGCGACGGGCCTAATTTGATGGAGGCTCAACATCATCATGCGGCTGCCCAGAGGAGCGCGATCGTTGGGCAGTTGAGGAAGAGGAGTACACGGAAGAGACTGTAGAATAGTGGATAATGTAAGCAGCTGCTTTTCGGCTCAACTCCCCTTCCCAGCAGGATGATGGAGGGGAAACTACAGAGAAAAGTCCGTACCGCGTTTCGGCGACAGGCCAAACTGCTCTGCGACATTGACATAGCCCTCTCGCCCGATGGTGCCGTTCTTTCGGAGATTCTCGACGTTGGGGTTGGACCCGGGGGTTGGCCAATTGGTGCGGCTGTGACGGAATCGAGTGAGTCGGTGCAACTGGCAAAGGAAAATAATGAATATAAAAAAAGCGAAACCCACCAGTAAACACAGCGGATGGAGCCTTGACTGCTGAGCGAAACGCTAGCCCACTTTTTGAAGCAGACTTCGTGAACATTGTTCCCACAGCCCGTCTGGCACCAGACCGTCTTGTCCTTGGCCTCAAAATCCATGAAGCAGATGGGACAGGCACCCTCTAGAGGCTTGCGTTTGCCATCATGATCGTGGTCCTCGGTGCTATTCCCCTCAAACATGCTCATCAAGGAGCCTTCGTACATTTCGCGCAGCTCCTTCGCAAAAGGTCTTGTCAGAAAACTCGGTCATCATGACCACAACGATAGGTGTAGAGCGGGCTTTTCTTACCGATGGCACAAAGGAGATCTGGTATCGAAGCTCAGGACGAGCGTTGAGGGCTTTGAGGAGGACTGGAATGATGAATCAGTAAGAGTGATTATAAAAATACGATGTAATGAGGATCTGCAGGGCGAGATATAGGGGGAGTTGAGGGAAACTTACCATAGATAATATGTTTACACTCGCCACGGGCACGGAACAGGGCATCTGGGCAGTCACAAGAGGGCAGCTTCCCGATCTTGACCTTGTAGATATTGCCGGTGGAGCCGACAATGTCAAAGTAAAACTCGGGAACTTCGTCAGTTTCCCGGATTTGCTGGCCGACAATAAACATGCTGCAATCAAAGACGGTCAGTCATCACTGAAAGTTAAGTTATTGCTCGTTATGACCTACCGCGATGCGTTGATCCGATCTACTCGATCAAGATGGGAATCAGGAGGTGAGTCACGCCAAGAACGGGCACGAGACTCTGAGCCATGATATTTGATGATGACAGGAGCCGGGCGAGCTCGCTTAGTCGGAGAAGCCTTAGAGGACTTTGGAGTTGGAGAACCTTCTCCGGGACCGTGAGCGTCTCCTGCTTTTCTCTTGGGGCTCCCTTTCGCAGGAGTCACGGGGCTTGCAGAAACACGTTGCATTGCTGGGCTGATTTTGGCAGGAGCAGCCTTCTTCACTGGGGTAGCCCGGCTTGAAGAGACTAGAACCTTTCCACGACGAGGAGGGGGATTCGGTGAGATCACCGTAGATGGGGATCCGGGGTTGCCCACGGAGTACTGCTGGATTGGGTCCATCGCTGGTGGATGCTCTGAAGAGCGAGACTCGTTGCAGTGTTGATAAAAGAGAGTTCTTAAAGAGAAACGAGCAAGTTGGGAAAATGAAAGTTTCAGAATTCGTGAGTTGGAAGAGGAGTGAAGGGAGACTGGTGGCTTCACGTGCATAGTATAGTTGGCAGTCCAGGGGCCTACTGAGAGCTATGAGCGACGCCGGATGTTTCCGTACAAACAACCGACGTCAAATAGCGAGTGTCCTTGCTCGAAAAAGCAGAGAGGTCAAACAATGAAGCTCTGGAAGTGGAATTTGCCTCTTGCAGTGACTCTTGAGGAAGATGCAGCCGAAAAGGGCAAGAGCCCAGTGGATGGTGTTTGCAGTGTTTGTTTTGCCACCCCGCTTTTTGGAGGAGTACGTTGACGTTGTGGAATGAATGTACTTTGGCCTTTATTGTAAACCATCTTAGTAGACATTCGATTCATTCCTAGGTTCTCCATGATGCATTCAAACTATTTGTGCAGCCGCATGAGACATAATGCCATCTCTTTCTCTTTCAGCAAAGCCAGTTGCCGATTCCTTCTGACACTTTTTTGCTAAACTCCAAAGACAGTGTTCCCTTTGTTGCTTCTCTCCCATTCATCATGATTTTTGAAATATCTCCGTCTCGTTACACTGGGTCGTACCCTCTATTGGGGGCAACCACTCCCGTCGACTCTTGCAAAAGACCTCAACCTCAGGCGCCCACTCACTCTTCGCCAGCCCCAGGTCCATTGTGCCAGAGGTAACGGTCAGCATGCCCTTGAACACCGAGTTGGTGATAAATAGCGGCGAACTGCAGTTCGAACAGTATGCCCGAGATAGTATGTTTCCCGACGAATTGTTGCTGTCTTTGTAGATCTTCAACATCTCTTCGCCTGAGACGATTCGAAATTGCTAGAGACAAGTTAGTTTCAGGTCCGTCGAAATGGAGGTTGGAGAATTAGCGTGGAACAAAGCAAGGTGCGTACATTTTCGTGATATACGGAATTCGCCATGAAGCTGGATCCCGAGACTTTGCGGCAATTATCGCAATGACAAAGGAGTCTCACTTGAGGGTCTCCGGAGAGTTCATATCGGATCTGCTGGCAAAGACAGCTGCCAGTGATGGTCGGGAGGTCTGACATTTTCTCGAAGTATAGTACGGTTGCGGGGGATCAAAGTACACAGCGGAGATGAAAAACTTTAAAGGCCAAGTCTACTTATCTATTAGCTAGGCTCTAATAGGATTCCGATGGAAGGTTCTGGGATTTGCTGTTAGGCTGCAATATCCCTTACGTGCAATGCAGGGGCTGGCAGAGCGGGGATCTACGATGTAGCGACTAAGGTACAATCATCAATGCTCAAGGTCTGTCCGGGTGACGCTATAGCGGGACAGCTAGAAAATTGATATGAATGGGCGGCAAAGAAGGTGCCGCAACAAATTTGGGGCATTTTACTGCTATACTAAACATGCTCCATGGGCTACAGTCTTAGTCTATACGGTCATTTATTGCTTTGACAGAAGGTTACCTACACTGCCTTGAGACAATTTCAAAGTCCTCGTACTAGCCCAAAATCAGTCTAGAATCATGACAATAATTAGATGGGAGCAGCTCATAGCCTTAAGAGTCATATCGAGTTGAATAAAAGCGGCTATAAGATCAAATGGCATGACCCATCTCTATGAAAGAATCTTTATGAGTCATTGTAAGCTTTCACGAGTTAGTTCAGTCATCTGTTGGCTTACTGTTTCCTACATACATCATGAGCGCAAGGCCCCACACCGATAAATGAATGTTTGCACCATTTGGCTGACCTCCATCATCCGGCGCTATCGATGGATCGTTATCGGCCCGCCCGCGCGACAACTGCCTAGCTCTCAGTCACCAGAATGACCTGCTAAGCGGACTGCAATGCCCGCTAGGACAATCAACGATCTCTCGAACTGCAATCAGGTAGATCAAGTTCATTGCAGAGTCTATGGCGCGCCCACGAGCTGCGTCGGGCGCTGACGCCCCCAAAGAACCCCACGCGGTTTCCCTGAAAGGTGCGCTGTTCTCCGGTGTACGAATTGTATGCGAACGATGCTGACTATGATCATGTTGGATAGTTCTACGGTATCAACCTAGTCCTCAATTCTAGCTGGCTTGTCTCAACCACTGACCTCTGCCAGTCTCTCCCGACCGTCCCTGTCTTATCAATCCCCCCTCCCCATCGCCAACACCAAGATCTCCCCAAAGGCCTCCCTAAGCTATCCATCCGCCGACTCCGATGCTCAATTCATTCTTACGCCTATCGTGAGCTCACACCAAACTCTACGCTCTTCGAGTGAGCTTCCCGCTGACCCAACATAGCTCACCCTCCCCCCAGCATTCGGATCAGTCTACGTCGGCGAAACGTTCGCCTGCACACTCAGCGCCAACAATGAGATTTCCCCAGATGACTTAGGCCGAGTCGTAACCTCCGTGCGCATCGTTGCCGAAATGCAAACCCCGTCATCAGTCGCAACCCTCGATCTCGACCCCGCCAGCGATACGGCTCAAACGGACGGCCTTGACATTGGTGAGTCTCTACAGAAGATCGTGCGCTATGATCTCAAGGAAGAGGGGAATCACATTCTCGCCGTGAGTGTGAGTTACACCGAGAATAGGATTGGCGAGAATGCTCAGGCGGCGAGTGGTCGTGTTCGCACGTTCCGGAAGCTATATCAGTTCGTTGCGCAGCCGTGTTTGAGTGTGCGCACCAAGGCATCGGAATTGCCGCCTTTGGAGGTGGATAATAAGTCTCTTGGTCCGTATGGAAAGACTCGGTTACTTCGGTTTGCCTTGGAGGCGCAATTGGAAAATGTAGGGGATGGTGCAGTGGTTGTCAAGGTAAGCAGCCCCCCACAAGAACAAAGAGAGACGGGGGAGATGGCGCCACTGTACAGGGAACATATATGAATGTCAAATGATTGACGTGCTCTCCCAGCAAACCCGACTCAACCCCAAACCACCGTTTAAATGCCAATCTCTCAACTGGGACGCAACAACCGCCGATCCCACCGCAGCCGGACCACCAACCCTTAACCCACGCGACGTCCTTCAAGTCGCCTTCCTCATCGAACAAGAAGAAGGCCGCACAGAAGGTCTCGAAACTCTACAAAAAGATATCCGACGCGACGGCCGCGCCACCCTAGGCCAATTATCCATCGAGTGGCGTGGCGCCATGGGTGACAAGGGCTTCCTCACAACCGGCAATCTTATGAGCCGGAAACGCACCTGAAACACGGTGTAAGGGCCGGCGGGGCACTTGGTCCCGTCGTGCCACGACATGTCCACGGCATGCTATCCGAGTCTCCCAATCATACAATCACGTTCAGTGCAGGGCACGAGTGCGTTTGGTGCAAGGGTTATCTCGGCTCGGATGGGAATGTATGACGAATGAAAGTACATAATTTGCGAGTTTTTGTCTTGGTAACTTCGATTTGGATATATTCATTTGGCGAAATCGGCGTCTTGCAATTTATCTGTATACCGTACTTGGAATACCCTGTCAAGGCTGATCAGGCCCTCACATGAGTAAACTTCCTCCATGCCTAGGCTGATCCCTGTCCGGATCCGCAATTTATTATGCTTGTCTGTAAATGCCGAGACCACCAAACCCACCGGAACCCGTGAATCCTTACGCTGGCCCCTGGCTTCCAGCGCCACTGGTATGGGGCTCCTTCGGCTGACGGCATTCGCATGCAGCTGCGGGTTCCGCTTTTGAATGGGAAGATCATGGGAGTGTGACACCGCAGCTCAGGCAGTTATGAGTGTGGAAGTGGATCTCCGGGCTGGGCGAGGCTGGGTTGGGATTAAAGGCTATTCAACACTTGTTTTAAGAGGTAATCTTGAAGCTAATTTACAGTATACTGTAATAAACTCTACTTTATGTGTCGGAACTTTTGGAGTTAAAGGTTGAGTAAGTGGTACTTAAAATAAAAATATTTAAATATCAATTCTCCATCCCAGGCAGGAAGGATGGCAGATGAGTGTCTGTGTACGATTACTGCGTAATGTACCTTTCGTACACGTACCCAATTCGCCAGAGATTGCATGTAATCTGAACCGATCGACAAGCTTACTGATAGGTTGTTGTACTATGCATCTATGTACGATTTCCTTGATTTTGGACCATAGTACCTACTCCGTACAGGAGATATCGGCCATAATCAACGGGTGGAGAGAGGCTAATTCTGGACGAGTCTAGACCTCCATCCCCCGGTCGCTGGTAGCCGGACCCCATGCCCAGAGCCCGAGGCTTGTCAGCTTTTATCGGGTCCAGACCGATGTGATGTTATTTATACAATTGTACTTGTTTGACCGCATATCTGCCCGATATTTCGAATTTCCAAATGGGTTTATATGGCTCTGAATACCTGCCCTGAATGATGTTCCTCCATGGCAATACAGAACGCACTGCACTTAATCTAGCCTGCCCAACACAAATTCTTCGCGATGCAGGTTGGGATAACCTTGCCGTAGCCCATCCTCCTCTGCAGCCACACCAAAAGGGCTACCGGTGCAGACACTGCAGTAGTGCAAAGGCCGACTCACACTCAGAAGGCTCAAGTCAAAGGCTAGAGCCTAGAGGCTTCTGAGTAAGGCCCCGCTGCAGGTCAGGTCTGGAGTTTCACAGTGGTGGATTGAGGGTGTTATTTTGGGGGGAGGCTGTGATTTAGCCAATCGTGTTTCGTAGCGAGGATGTCCTGCATAGAGGCGATTAGTGGTATTCGGTGCAAGTAAGGGGGAGTCGGCAAGAACGGGTATAACTGGGGTATTTATAGTACAGCCCTTGAGGTATTAGTATAGTATATGTATTGTAGTAGGCTGGGTATAAGTATGGAAATGAAGAAGTGGATTAGGGGGAGAATTGGTCGGGATCCCGGTTCGAAGGGTACCTTGCAGCACGCTTAGAGTTGTGAGAGCTGTCCATATTAATCCGTCTACATTAACTTAGTATATGATAGCATCACAGTATCACGATTAATGTCACGCATGACCATTTCCCATCTTCGCCTACGACCATCCATTGACTATACAGTACTGTACTTATATGCTCCGTATGTATGCACAGAAATCAGCGTGCGCAACCTTGATCATGATTGACCAATTCAATCTCCTCCCGACTCCACCGTCAAACCGCGTCGGGTATAGATCGGCTCTGCCCCGGAGGCACAGGCCTCCACTCTTGCTCCTGACTCCAGCACGGATAGGGTATATTGTCCCCGAAGTGCGAGATGATGGAAATGCACATGTCAAGCTGAAACGAGTAGGAGCATGGATTGTTGGAACTATCGGTTTTGTCGGGGATAGTGGCGTGGTAGCTCGTGAGACGAAGAACGAGTCGAAGTTATGGTTATTATCGGTTGAGGCGGTTTGGGGGGGGGGG